ATGTTGATGAAAGTCTCTATGAATCCTTGACCAGCAGTATTGTAAGCAAAGTCGTAGCAGTCATTCATGATCCGCTCAGTGGTCCAGAAACGTTGGTTTCAGAGACATTTTCTGTCGTAGGTTCAAATCACATTGTCTCCGAAACACAATGTTGTAAACACTGACTTGTCTAGCTCACAGAAGGATGATGTCTTGTTAGATGCACATGAAATTGTTGCAGTACCCGCTCACGAAAAGACGTAAAATGAATCGAGCAGCGTAACGAAGACAGTCGCATCAAATGGAGCTCATAGTTTTAGTTCTTATCTTAATGGCTCACATGTTCTGGATCAAATTTCTAACAAAAATGAGAAAAATATGTCAGATGTATCAAACGATGATCAAGAACCTAATAAAATTTTGATAGATGCTGGATACCTTAGTGATCCACTATCTACCAATGACATTTTCAAGAAATTCAAACAACAAGGCATGTCAGAGGCTAGTTAGTTGAAAGCATTTTCCACTATGTGTAGAATTTGGACTATTAAAACCCCCTATCGAGAAACACGTCCAAAACAAAAAACCGACAACAAGTAGTCAATCAGTTAGTGGCGTCTCAGAAGAGAGAATTTGAACGTTTCCTTCGAATACTGTCGCTTCAAAAGATACCGCTTGTTCTCCTACTAGGCTGTGACTGAAATATGTGTGACTTCTTACATATTGCTGTTTTGATTTACAATAAGCCTATTTCTACCTCTTAAGCTACCTGATATGTCAGTTCCTCTGTTATTCATAGATTTGCGTTCATTTTACAAATTTGTTTAACTGATTTATTTTATTCTCAACACCGTATTTTTTTCTCCCTTCTGCATTAAAATTTGTTTAGTTTTTGCATTGCAGTTAACAAAACCTCACTGATCTATGACAAACATTCTTTTTAAAGTTCCTGATATACAAGCTTGCAAAAGCTCGGATTCATTAAGATTGCTGTTCACCAGAGGATCTCTGAGGAAAGATTTTATGATTTCATTCCTTGTTTTTTGTGCCGTATAGACTCATTACGGAGAGAGTATGGAGATCAGCAATTTAGGTGATCTGTGTCGACGACTGAGATCTACTCCAGTTGGATGGGAATAGTGTGATATTTTGGCTTAGGTATAATTGACACATCACAGTTGATATCTGGCGTGGATCACTCGTTTGTTATATCTATGTGCTGCAGCCAATATGATGTCCTTAAAAACAAACATGGTGTTACTAAAGTAATGTTTTCAGTTAGACTAGTTCAAAGAAAGGGTGCGCGGCCATAACCGCACGATTCCGTCTATGGAGTGAGAATTTTGATACACAATGGTTTTCCTTGATCTCAAAATGTTAAAACTCCAGCGGCCGTCCTGCTAGATGATTTGGATAGGATTCTGTGATATTTCACTGACGCTGCACAAGTTATGCAGTTAAGGAAGGTGATATTGTAAAATACGAAGTTTATTTTGATAGCACGCCGGCAAACCAATTTAAAAAAGCTTGGAAAGAGAGCTGCCGATGCAAGAAAAAATGGAATATTTCCGAATAGTTTCGTCGCGCGAACGAACATAAAACGTGCGAATAAAGAAACATCAGTGTTAAACCATGTAATATGATACTGAGCTGATACAATCGACTATCTCAATTAAGTTCTACCAAGTTCCTAATGCTGTGATGAGGCAATAGGAAGCGTACGCGAAAAATCACTTGGTTTACATCAAATGGTCACAGAGAACCTGGATATTGTATCTCTTAAAAAATGCTGTTGATCACCAACGTAGATGATCTATGTCGAAATGATTGGAGGCCTACTCGAGTTAGACGTGAATAGTGTGACGAACCAACTAACGTCGAAGTCACACCTCGTGGTCAGCACCTTACGTGGACTACCCCCATTGACGTAACAAGGTACTATAGATGCTTTGAAGACTGTACAACACAAAGGACGTTACTACAGAAATATATTAGTTAAAGTAGATACAAGCCAAAGTAAGACCACTGCCGCATGGGCCAGTCCATGACATACAATTAACTAATGCGCGTCGGTTGTACATGACCTTGGCAGGGAGCGACGATCTGTTCGACATTCAGTGATCCAACTGCCGGATGATTTGGCTGGGGCTCAGTGACATTTCACTGGCCCTACAATACTCCCCCACCAGATTCAGCGGCCGTTTGAATCGGTACCAAACATGTTGGGAGCAGTCGCGCGCCGGAGAGTGCCAAACGAATATTATAAATCCTCCAGGTATTGCTTATCTGTAAAAGAAATGGAAAGGAGGCGGCAGAAACTGGTCGGGAAACAGCGAGTCATAATATGTTAGTAGGACGTTGGTTAAACGTAAAGCGATTAACCATAGAAATAATGAAAAGAACAAAGCGTTTAATTGTTCTATCAAGTCGCGCTGAAATATATAGCTTTGACAAGCAATTCAGTTCCTCCGATGACAAACGTTAAGTCTGCCGCAAGAGTAATGATGCTATAGCGATAGTAGGATAAGTGTATTATCAATCGATATCCATATTTGTACTGTCATTAGTTTAAAGTTGTAAGTCGGGCAGTGTCGTTGACAGCCATTAATTAGTGTCGAATTCTAGTTATATCTATATCTAACAGACTAACCGTAAGTACAGAAGTATAACAGTGAAGAGTGGTCGTGATTTCGTTGTGCGAAGCTATTGACCAACTTGTAGTCACAGTTTGAAAAGTCGATGACTGCTGTTACAGTCAGTAAGGGTTGAAGGCTACAAATCCACAGCAAAGGTGGCACGATGAAGTCTCTAAAAGATGATAAACGGTGAATGCTGCGTGTTTGTTCGGTTAGTGAACAGAAAAATATCGAAAAGAACATAAGAAACCAAGAGTGTCACTCTGGACTCATGTCAATGATACCCGTGAAAAACGCTGTCAGTGTTGGGATAGAGGCGACAATATCGTTTTCAGTTTGCAGGAGATTCGCTCGACTGCATAAACTGATGATTCGCGCGAATGATATTGTCGTCAGACCACCAATTGAACTGGACAGGTTGTAAATCGTCGAGTAGTTGAACAGCCGATTGATGTACCGGAATCATCTGTTAAATAACAGCCACGAGGAAACAATACTTCATAAAATGAAGTACGACATCGAAGTAGAACAACTACAATAGTTCAGATGTGTTACAATGTCAAGTCTAAATAACATCGTTCTTACGTATATTGACAGTTGCACTGAACGTTCGCTTAGGTATGATTAGCGTAACAGTTGGATGTGTGAATAAAAACATATACGAAAACTATGGTTGGGTTCGTGGAGAATTTTCGAGGACGTTTAGATATTTTCCAAACCCGTATCGCATGTAAATAAACCGAAAATAGAATTAAAATGACTGCCGTGTAATAAGGAAATCGAGCCATGATTTACCGTGTGAATTATTAGCAAATACAAGGGGTATAATAAACATTAATTAAAATGGTAACCACCAATGTAACTAAGGTTTAGAGGGTCCAGGTAACGTGGCCATTTCGTAAAAGGCTGATACAAAGAGCTTATTACCTAGCGTTAAGTGACATATTAAGTACGACAACGTGTGCACTTGGGACATGGACTAAGCGTGCTCGTGTACATGCAATATGTTTTACCACAGTATGTCGACTAACGAGTCATAAATGTACATGATTTCGACTAAAACTTGACGGCAGTGACAGAATATATGACTAGTTTACGTGAAAGCAACTACGAAATGTTATCACGCATCATAAATATAGTACGAAATAATCTAATGAAATTATGAAACTCGCCTGGGTTACTCTTGCCTTTAAGTAATGAAGTAGGCAGTAGTTTGAATCTGGATTATGTACGAGGTACTGTTGATTAAATTTTTCGATTAACACAGCGTTGTAGACGTGAATTTCTAGCATTCGTATCCTCTGTTTGGCCATGGAACTCAGCAATTGGAAATTAGGCAGGCAGTGGTAAAAAAAAGCAAAACATTCTAGTGGATAGTGGTTAAGCAGAAAGATGAATTTATAGTCGATAGTTAATCTTGTCTTATTTGTACCGGTGGATAAGGTACAAAGAGATATGCGTTCGTGTTGCCTTGTGGCTATACTCACGAGTGGTTGATATTTTAACAGACATATTACACAGGAGCATTTACATGCTGCTAATGCTTGTTGAAGAACCACGATAGCCGATTATAATCGTAGTTGATTGGTTAGTTCTGTCGATTGAACTAAGTATTTAAGTTTAAATACTAATCAACATTGACATGAAGCAACGAAAGTTCACAGTGATAGATTAACATAGGCGATGATAAAAATGAAAAAGAATAAGTATAGAATACAATGATAAAGATTATAGTGATAGGTTGCGTTACTCGAAGTCTTGCTCACCAGTGTTGATCACCAACGTAGATGATCTATGTCGAAATGATTGGAGGCCTACTCGAGTTAGACGTGAATAGTGTGACGAACCAACTAACGTCGAAGTCACACCTCGTGGTCAGCACCTTACGTGGACTACCCCCATTGACGTAACAAGGTACTATAGATGCTTTGAAGACTGTACAACACAAAGGACGTTACTACAGAAATATATTAGTTAAAGTAGATACAAGCCAAAGTAAGACCACTGCCGCATGGGCCAGTCCATGACATACAATTAACTAATGCGCGTCGGTTGTACATGACCTTGGCAGGGAGCGACGATCTGTTCGACATTCAGTGATCCAACTGCCGGATGATTTGGCTGGGGCTCAGTGACATTTCACTGGCCCTACAATGCATAGTCCACGATCACAAATATAGTTGAGTGGCTGGACTACCAAAACTGGGCTTATGCAATGACCTGGAAAGGTACATTTACACTCACGAAGTATCTTCAAAGTAACCAACGAGTTTACACTAGCTGATCACAGAAATATTGGATAATAGGTGTTACGAATTTCTGACGTAGCATTTTGTAGGTCACGTTCAAGGTCACTCCTTGCCAAGATTTCAAAACCTTCACGTTATGGATGAGTCTGTACTTTCAAAGTGCCAGTCTAAGAAGCTGGCTAAGCGTGAAAAGAAAATGGCTAAATTTGAAGCCAAACAGGAAAAACTTTCTTCAGACGCCTTAAAGGTACATTTTGTCCGTTTTTCTCGAATTTTCAGAATCAGAAGTCGTCAAAAAAAGACAAATTGAAGAAAGAGCAGGTTGTTCTGAATGCAGTGACAGACGCATCTGGCAAAAAAGGTTCGTGTGTCTTTTTTATTGTTGCTGTTTGAAGATATGACTGGTGAAATGCCCGAATCTTACTCCCCCAAATATGTTGAGGCCACGTGGTACGAATGGTGGGAGCGTAGTGGACTTTTCAAACCAGAATTTCAGGTATTCTTGGTTATTAACTTCTAAATTCGTGTATTTACAAACCTTATTTATCATTTTTATCTCATTTTGTAGTCAGCAAATAGATTATAGTTCTAGCTTTCTTTGTTAACATAATGAAAACTTCATAAATGCTACCGAATCGCGTTGCTTCGCTTCACTAGTTGTTAGGCTTTCAGTTTCAGTTATATGACTGGGCTTTTAGTCTTTTTGAAAGTTACATCAATCTGCTTAGGATCTGGTTGGGTGCTGCTGTAGAGGAGCACCGGGTGACGAGACGAACTATCAAGTGCCTCTACAGCAACGTAAAAGGACTAGAGTGTAAATTAGGAGCGATCAGAAAGATTGTACATCAAAAGGCAAACGCCAAGGTACACTCCCGCATTCATTAAAAGCTGCCTCTATTTGGAACATCCCCTCAGCCGGTGACCACAAGCCCCTCTGGATAGCTTTAAGAGGAGAATTGACATATACGTATTCACCCATGTTTTAAAATCTCCCTCTTGGATTAGGTAAGCCTGATGCACGTCTCATAAATTACCACGGTTGTCATTACGACATATCAGCAATTACATCATATCATTATTGTTATCATCTCTGTTCCCATTCTTATTCTTTCAATTCCATCTTCTTACCTATTACCAATTAATTAATTAATTAATTTATTCTTGAAACGGTCGTCTTCTTTTAGCGCTTGAATTACCACATCATTTTTCACATTGCAACCGACCAACATCGTGTGTGGTAGCTACCGGTATCCAGAATCCCTACTGCCCTGAGACAAATGCACTCAAACTAAGATATATGCAAACCCACAGATAACTACCACCCTGCCTAGGACTAGTGCACTCGAGTTGCTAGACCGCCACCCATTGAATATTATCAAAAACCTGGAACCGTAGTGAAACAACAAGAGGCGAGCACAAGGAAATCAATCGGTTTATTCAAGCGCGTGATAAAGAAGTTGGATATATTGGGTCATTTTGCAAAGCTCCGAAGACTTTTTTCGTACTATGTCACAAGCTCATGGTCGCCTTAAATAAATCAACACTGTCGAGTTAGTCACACAATCCATTATCTTATGGTAGTTTACAAGCGTTTGTAGGAATTAAAATCTGCACCAACAAGTTCTGTTGATTATTAGTCGTCTTACTGTGATTGCATTCAACATTTCTGGATGTTTCACCACATGTTTTACTTTTGTCTGATCACTTCAGGTTATTAAATCCTCACAATAATGAATCGACTCGTTATTAAGCCTTAAGAAAAAGGCAAACTGTCCTAACCACGGACTTGTGATATACTCAAATCACTGAAAAATCAGAGTTACTGTAATCGTCAAAACTTGAACTATGCTGTCAAGTCAAAACTTGTGGGTAAAGTGGATAACTATTTCACAGTAAATTTAACTTCGTATGATACACGAATCTGTACATAATGTGCACAAATACATCTAGAAAAACAGTTCTGTTTCATATTCGCTACATAAATCATTGTTTTGCAATTGTGATTGATGTGTTTGAGTGAACAAATGTAGATTGATTTAGTACATTTCGCTACCTCTACAGTAACATAAGGATACAGTTTAATTTCAATAAAACGTTCCCTTTTTCGTTATGAATCTTAAGATTGAAAGCCCAGACAAATTCGTTATGGTTATACCTCCCCCAAACGTCACTGGAGTCTTGCATTTGGGCCACGCTTTGACAAATAGTATTGAAGATGCCATTACACGATGGCACAGAATGAATGGAAAAGTTACACTGTGGGTTCCTGGATGTGACCACGCTGGTATTGCCACTCAGGTGAGTTCTCATGTTATATTAGACAGCGATATTTCTTTACAAGAATGAACTTAAATAACTGGAAGCACATTTTGTTAACTACATCCGTGTTTTTTTATTAATATACCGATTGAAACCCATAAGGATCATTGACAATTGCTAAAAAATAGGTAAAATATGCCGTAAATTTTCATATGAGTGAACATGATCAGTGAAATGCTCGTGATTTGAAAACTCACCCAAACATAAAAGCTTTTTAAATTGACTGGTTCTGTTGATGTTTTCTTACAATTCGTCCTATAAATCTCTTTTCTATTAGCCACTTAACCTGAATCTGTCGTTATTGTAGATTTATTTAGTCTCTGCATTAGTCCGTTTCCATCTAGACTTAAATAACTTAAACTCGATAATTGCATTTCGGAAAATACGTTTACTTATTATTATGGTGTAGTGTCTAGTGCTATGTCAAGCCCACATTGGTTATTTTAGCTTTCGGACAGACTAGTTTCTTCATTCTTCTCAAGCCACATTTTGGCCTTGTTAATTATTCGCTGTTTTGATATGAGCGTATGTGTGTGCATTGCATATCCTACTCGTCAAATGTCTTTAACTTAATTTTGTCTGACTATAAATATCGAGCCACGCTTAATCAAATCGTGTTGGATCTCTTGCCGTCCCTGCCTTTTATTCTGAATATCTGTCCGGATAAACAAATGCTTCGAATGAATTTCATCAACGCAACCTGTATTTGGCTTCTTATTACCGCTGTGACACAAATGGGGTTAGCCTAGGTAACATAAGCAATTAAAAGGAAGATTTTGTAGATGTTGGTACTACGTCAAGTCTACATAGGTTATTCTAGCCTCTGAAGAGATCATTCTATTCATTCTTCTCAAGCCACATTTTTACCCTCTCACTTATTCGCTTACCAATCTTGACTGTTTTTATGTAAGCGTATGTGTGTGCATTTATTTTACCCATCACATGTCTGTAACATATTTCTATTCGACTATAAAGATCGATTCACACCTGGCTAAATTGAGTTGGCTCACTCGCCCTCTCCATCGCGTGTTGTTTTCTGTTTCGCTTTTCAATCAACGATTGTACGGAATATACGTATTCAAAAACCTATTCTCATATTTGACTTATTTAATTCCGTTATTCACCAACGCGATTTAAGTCGATGAATATGTACGAGGATTGGCGCAGATAAAGCACCGTTTAAACGTACCATTACTTTAACCACCGAGCCAGTGGATTCACAGTTTTCTTACCACTTAGATTCATATATATCATACAGTTCTCAATACTACATTTTTGTCCACTGTAAATTAAGTATATGATAATTCATACCAAAAATTTTAGGTTTGCTTCTATTGTTTTTATTCCCAAGCAAAATGTGTAGCCAGATAATCATGTCAAACTTTAGTAATGATAATTACAAATGCATTATTTATTTATTTATTTTAACACATAGATATTGAAACAAGGAGGCACCAAATATATATGCGCCACACAGATCTCATTTGATATGTGTGAGGGCTGTGATACTGCCCGGGTGCCCAAACCGAAGTAGGTGGTTTTCTTAGGGGGCCACACCCGGAGCCTTCGACCTGAAGGTCCGACCAACAAAGGAGTGGAGCAACGTAAGGGGATGCAGTCCCATGGTAGTCGGTGACCAACAATAGGTTTATATGCCATTCGTTCCTTCAGGATCTTGAGGCCCACGTGCATCATTGGTTTGGAATGAGGGTTTTCCAACTCCCCTAGGTGGATCCTTCGTATCCACCAGTCCGGTTAAATTGCCAGACATTCGCTTTTCGTCCTCTTAATTTCGTAAATAAGTGTCTGGCCACGAGAATGCAGTGAGTAGAATTTCCCTGGCAGAGGCTATATACGCGTGGCCATGTGAGAGCATTTCGAGAGGGAGAGTGAACTCTACCGACTCTCGGACGTAACAGGGCATTACTAACCAAATTAAACTACTTATGGACAATTGTAATTGGTATGGTCAGATAGTCTAAAGATTTCTAATTTTTAACGTTTGTAAACCAAGTAACTACATTTAAGTTTCCGAAATGTCAAAACACCTATGATCATCTTAAAAACAAAATTTACATTATCATTTCATCATAGGTAGTGGTAGAAAAAAAGTTGTGGAGAGAGAAAAATCTCACTCGACATGATATTGGACGTGATGAATTTGTGAAAGAAGTTTGGAAATGGAAAGAAGAGTAAGATTTGTTTCATAAATTAAGCATTTGTGTTGGTTTTTAGTATGATGTTCATTAAAGAGCATTTAACATTTCATATAAATAGATTAGTTATTCATTTTTGTACGCACAATAAATCAGATTTAGTATTTTAACCATACAATATATTAGTCAGACTGGTTCTTCCCCTGTAGTTATCACATGATATATACCCTTTCTTTTGAGCTGGTACAATAAACAACCTTAACTCGTGTGATGGAATTACATTGAACTGCTCAACCGTTAGACTATCTCAGTCAATCTAGCTGTTAAAACTGAACCACTATCCGTAATTATTTTTGTAGTCAACGTGTTGTGATTTTTCCAACATAACTAAAAGTTGGATATCTAATGTCGATATCTTTTCAAGGTGTTCATGAGTAGTAGGCAAGTAGAAGGAATCTTGAAACCAGTTAAAGGTGACATCCTGTCAATCACGTTAGCGCAGTTGGGTTCTTTTTTATTTGCCTCTAAATATTAAGGTTGCTGTTATGCTATATTTTCCATTCTTCGATCTTATTTGTTCCTTACTAAACTAAATTTTTGTGGTTGATTTCCCGTTCCATTTGATATTATTACTATTGTCATTGTTATCATTATTTCAACCCGTTGCGTACTTCTCACTTTATTGATTTTCTCTGTCGGTTTCCAAAAGTGGTTCGATTCACATTTTCTCCAGTTCTTACATTCTCTATAATTGACCATTCGTCCTTATACGCTTCATGTTAATTAGTATTAACGAGTTAAAGGTTAGTGTTCAACCTGCTAAACTATTAGACAGTACCTGACACTTGCTTTATTGACTCTGTGATACATTCTACAGTATTTATCTTGTTTTACACAGAGGCTACTACAGGATTGTTTGGTAAATATTCATAGTCAACGTAGGACGTGGCACATACTTGCGTCGGTTCAATTTGTCACACCATATTATCTCAGCGAGATGTAAAGTTAAACAATGGGAGCGTCATGTTTAAACGAATGTTTACAACGAAGTTAAATAGAAGTGAAAAAAGAACAGCCCTTAAAGTGGACAAATATAGTGACAGTTCACCACAGGCTCCAAATCTAACAGTATTATTCTAGTAGAGCTTATACGAGGTTGATACACTTTGTTACGCCTTTCAATGTCAGACACTACCACAAAACCCGAATTAGCTGTGTCGACTGGTGCTTTATGGTCAAAGAACTATAGTCGGACGTCGGAAGGTGTGGCTTTATTCCAGAACCTGACAAGGGTCAAACACTCGCGGGGGTGAATCATTGGTTAAGATATTTGACCGTCGGTCACTAATTTTCAGATCCGAACCTTACTCCACCTACCTCGGTTTAGGTGACTGGGTAACAGAAGTCGTCCTCATACTTGGTGTGGTTCCTACCCAAATACCTGGCGAATGAGTTAGTCATAATGATGAATAAATCCTATCCGGGTCAAAAGCCTGCCTAGTTCTCCCAGGTTCACTCTTTACTAGCCACAGCTAAATGTGCGATGATTATTAAGGTTGTTGTCTTAGACACTATATTTATCAAACTGATTCTTTTATGGCCGTCAAAAAAAGATTTCTGTCCTTTCTTATAAACTGGGACAAGCAACGATTAAAATCAGTCAGGTGAGATTATGTCCAGTTCCTGGATTCTAGCTAATATCTCAGTCAATACAACTAAAACTAGACTGCTATTCTTAAAGACCTCTATAAGAGCCCGCTCGTCTCCCTTGCTCTAGACTAACTGTGCCTTTCCCAACTTCATTAAGAGTCGGAAACCTAGAATTCTACGTGATCGGTGTTTTTGTGGTGGACGGATACTTGGATTAAAGTACCGTAGTTAAGTTCCATTCATTTCTTTACGCTACTGCACGACAGTAGCTTTTACACTCACAGGGTGATTTTACTTGCTAATCTTGATCAGTCGAGCTATATTGGATAAAACGTATTTTCATTGAGGTCCTACCATGCTAAACAAAACGGATGGATAATAGTAAAATCAAAAACATAAAATTTGTATTAGAGCCGACTATAATGATGTGTCCTTATCAAATCAGTTTGTTCCATGCATTATTTTCCAGTACCAGTTGCACCATTTTCTTTTTCTCTTCATCACGACAATTTAAATAACCTTTATTTATCTTTTTAGAAAGGGTGATCGCATTTATCAACAACTCAGAGCTTTGGGAAGTTCTTGTGATTGGTCTCGAGCTAGATTCACTATGGATCCATCCATGTGTAAAGCTGTTACAGAGGCTTTTATTCGTTTATACGATGATGGTTTGATTTATCGAAGCCTCCGATTAGTCAATTGGTCTTGTACTTTACGTTCAGCCATATCAGATATCGAAGTAGATAAACAAGAACTTTCTGGACGTACTTTACTTCGTGTTCCTGGCTATAATAAACCTGTAGCATTCGGAGTTATCGTATCGTTTGCCTACCCTCTTTTGCCTGGTAAACATTTTTCCCATCTATTGTTTCTCTTCATAATTTTCTTCTATCATTCCAGTTCGTTTTAGACGAAATCAAACATCCTTATCAACTTAAATTGGTGATGTAGAACGTTGGCTTAATGGTCGAAGTCATTCAATAGGCATCTTTATGAATTTGTTTCTAGAATTTTCATGTTCATAGCAATAGTTTAAACCGTGTAGAAAAAAACGAAAACTTTCGATCTCTTTTTTTCAAATGTTTTTGAATCCTATAGATTATTCTGAATGTCCATAGTGTGTATCATCAACCATATAAGTGTTTATTTACTTACATTTATTTAAAGGCTAGTGATACTACTACTCAGCTACTCAAACTGAGATAATTTTATAAGTTTAAAACCTATGATGTTTGTAGTTAAAATTCAAATAATTTTGCTATTAACTTATTTACTTACTCCTGTTACTCATGGAGGAGCATAGGCCGCCCACCAACACTCTCTATCCAACCCTGTCCTGGGCAATCCTTTCCAGCTCTTTTCAGTTGTTATTCATCCTTTTCATATCTAATTCTATTTCCCGACGTAATGTGTTCTTTGGTCTTCCTCTTTTCCGCTTCCTTTCAGAATTCAAAGTTAGGGTTTGCCTCGTGATGCAGTTTGATGATTTCCGTAATGTATATCCTATCCACTTCCAACATCTTTTCCGAATTTCTTCTTCAAATGGAAGCGGGTTTGGATTCATGTGAAAACCACGATCAATAGTTTGAGACGTTGGTTCAGAATCAATCGCAATGGCTCAGATACATTTAATTCTCATTATCCCTTGGATCCCGAGATTCAAAATTATTTCTTATGTCCATCCATTATGTTTTGTATATTTAGTTCCTTTATGAATAATATTAGTACGTTGTGTATCACTAACTTGCTTGAGTCTGGTCATATAGCTAGCATTGTTTACTTTAGCATTAGATGTGTAACTCACTAACCAAGAACGGTAACCTTACAATTGATATATTTGCCCTTCAACTAGCACTCTGCCTTTTCGAGACCTATATTTGTCTGGGGAGCGGGTATGGTATCGCCAGCCTAAATGTGTACTTGGTAAAGATACATGATATTATTCGTACAATTTCATTCTTTTGTATATATTGTTTTGATAACTTTTTCATCTTAAATTGTTAAACTTTAGTTCATTTTATGCTGTTTTCTTCTTCATTAACAGATCCTAGTAAAGTTGGATCAGACACTGAAATTGTTGTCGCAACCACACGACTTGAAACAATGCTAGGTGATACAGGCGTTGCTGTACATCCTGACGATGATCGTTATCGACATTTAATTGGTCGTCTAATCAAGCATCCACTTATTCCAGATAGATTAATTCCAATCGTTGGTGATACATTTGTTGATCCGAACTTTGGAACTGGTGCTGTAAAAATAACACCTGCTCATGATTATAATGATTGGGAAATCGGGAAAAGGCATTCACTTCCGACTATAGTAGTAATTGGTGAAGATGGTTTGATGACATCTGCTTCAGGTCCCAGATTTGCAGGTATGAATAAACCATGTATTTAGTGAATACTTGTTGTTAGACTCATTCAATAACGTTTCTCAAAATTGCACCGCTGTACTTGCGGTACAAACTTCAAAGAAGTATTTACTATCGAAGTATGTTTTTAACCAATCACGTCGATAAGTTAGATAAAGAAAACATAGACACTATAAATATTTTCTTTAAAAATAGTTTGATAAAAATATAGAAATTTGATCTTTCAACTTGATCATCAGTGTCCGATTAAATAATCAACCATCAACGTGGTAATATACTGCTTTAATATGCTGCGTCTTATTGACAAACAATACTACAAGACTTTTCGATCAATGGAATTTAGTACTATTGTTTTACGAAAACAATTAACTAATTATCAGTATGGGGTTGTAGAGATTATTCAGTTTTTGATTGGGATCATGAACCAATTGATGTTAGACCACCATTGAAAACGTGGAAGCGCTGTATATCAGTTGGTTCATGATCCCAATCAAGAACTTAATAATCTCCACAACCCCATGCTGATAATTACCATGTGTTCACCAGTGACTAGCTTTGTGAGGGAATTCTCGGAGTTCTAGTGAAAAGCCGTGACCAGTGGGATAAAGACAGGTATCTACCTCAGTACAATGGAAGATGGTCGCGCAATTTTGTGGATTGGTTGAAGTTAGACATTAACACCGTTGAATGCCGGCCCAGTGATCTAGAGGTTAAGCGTTCGCGCGCGAGACCTAAGGACCTGGGTTCGACTCCCTTTGGTGAGGGGTCGTTGCTGCGCACCGCTGAGGAGGAGTCACAATGAGACGAAACGGCCGTCCAGTGCTTTCAGGTTTTCAATGGTGGTCTAACATCAGTCGGTTCATGATCTCAACCAGAAAATTAACTAATTAGTACAGATTTGACTGGAAGATTCACTTTAAGTCGAAAGTTTTTTGTTGTATGAGTTTCAGTTACGTGTTAGATAATTATGCAAGTTAGGCTGTTAAAAACAACGTTAGTCATAGTGATTTTTTCGTAATCATCGCAGCAAAAATAAACGATTAAAAGCAGGCCAACTCTTAACTTAGTCAATTGCAATAACACTATTATTCCTGAACTATCATTCTTTAAGACTTCTGAAGTTCTCCTTTCAATTGTGGTATTTATCTCAATCACTCTAAATTACTTCCAATCATCTTAACTACACCAACACATAGATGTCTAATTTCGACCATCCATTTACACTGTCGTTGAATAGTTAACAACAGTAGAGTATAAATAAAGACTAGTTGTTTTGTTCTTCAAAGTAGTATTTTCACTCTTTTTGCTTTACTAATCAACTAGATTCCATTGTAATTCTTTTTAAATGATTGTTTTTTTTGTTTAAGTTCAGTGGGTGTATTTCAATTTATAATTGCTTTTAATACAAACACATCACTAAAGTTCACGTGGAAATATTTCGTTCCCATTTCCCTACTTCAATATGAAGCGATCCATTAAACTGACTTAAAACTCCATTGGCAATAGCCAATTAAAATGGGGTTTGAATTTATGGAGTTTCAGAGGCATAAGATTCAGTCTAATGTTGATAGGATACTATATAAATGAAGTAGCATTATATTCAAATGTCCATCGTCTTGTTTCGATAAACCTAGCATCCATAAGATCACTCTACCAGGGAAGTCCTACTCATTGCCTTCTCGTGGCGGGGGTGTTGTTTACGAAATTGAGAGGACGAAAAGCGAATGTTCGGCGCTTTAACCGGGTTGGTGGACATGGAGAGTCCACCTAGGAGAGTTGGAAAACCCTCATTCCAAACCAATGGTTCACATGGGCTCCAGTACCCTGAGGTAACAAATGGCGTATGAACCAATCGTTGGTCACCGGCTATCATGTGACTGCATCTCTTTATAATGCTCCACTGCCTTGTGGATCCAGACCTTTAGGTCGAATGCTACAGGTGTGACCCCCTAAGGAAACCACCTGTGTCGGTTTGTGCACTCGAGCAGTATCACAGCCCTCACACATATCAAATGAGATTTGTGTGGCGCATATGTATCTGGTGCTCCGTTGTACCAGTATTTCTGTGTTCAAATAAATAATAACATAAAACCACTTAAAACCGCTACACAATAACCTGTTTGATCATATGAGATACCTTAAGTGAATCAAAAGTTTTGTTGTCATCATCCGGTTGCGTAATATGTAGTTAAGGAGAAATAACAAGACAGTACAGTTAAAGATTTGTTACTGTGTTGTGGGTGCCTGGACAAGTTTATACATCACTTGTATGATATGATTGATAATAATAATTATGTACTGATCTTTAAAACAGTATCAACATAGTTGACATAAGTAACTGCACATCAGAATCATTATTTGTAAGATCCTATCAGGGAATTATAGAGATTGTTAGGCTCTTTTTCCTAAACCGTGCTGATTCTTGCTAGTTGTTCAGCATCCAATGGCGAAAATAAAATTTATGGACGAACCAATGGAATTAACGATGGCAAGCGTTGTATTTTGGCACACAGTCGATTTATCCGTATGTCTGAATAGAATTTTACTACTAGTTGATGTCAGTATATGATGAAAACTCAAATTTTAATACCTAACGCTAACTTCTAACTCTCTACCTTCATCCTAATTCCTCATATTAATCTATAATCCTCTTTTAACCCTAGTAAGTAGGTAAGTTTACTCAAGGTCGCTTAAGCGTCATTCAAAGGCCATCCATAAATTATAGTCTCATTCATCCATGGCTTAAAATCGTTTAAAATAGCACAGGTGCATCCACTCTTTGTGTTCCGATCTTCTGAATTCTTCATGTCCCTTGTATTTTGTCTTTCCAAATTTATTTCACTGGATTATACTCCTTAGATAACATCTTCAAACCCTAATCTTTCCGATTACTGCTTTACTATCTCTACCACTACGGGATTTGAATCAACAATTGTATCTGTGTGATAATTTGATATAGCAACTCGAACTGATGTACGTACGTACGAAGTTCAACGTTGTTGCTGACTGACCGAGTCTCATTCATCCAATACCCTACCTTTACGTTTTTATCTTTTCCTAATCGACACTGAATTAAAGAAAAGTTTAGTCACGTACTTTACTTCGTTTAAATTATTTTAAAATAATAATGATAAATTTAATATTGGCTTTACAGGACTTCAAAGATTCGTTGCTCGAGATGCCGTTCGGAAAGCTCTCGATGAATTAGGCTTGTATAGAGGTGAAAAAGATAATCCTATGGTTGTGCCGATATGTTCTCGAAGCAAAGATATTGTTGAACCATTGTTGAAACCGCAATGGTACCTACGTTGTCAGGATATGGCTAATGCGGCAATGAAGGAGGTTGGTTTTTTTATAAAAAGAATTTTGATTACTCTTCATGCTACCAATTGTTGTATTCAATTATAGTTTCTCTTCAAAACTTATTTTGATTACACTATCATAGACTGCCTTGTTTAGTCCGTGTTTATAGGTGTAGATTACCTGGTTGAATCTCACCTCTTAGTTGCGATTAGTAGTTTAAGATGGTGAATGACGTGGTTCCAAAATCCATCAAACTGGCCCAGATGAACTCATTCTTTATCTGTCTCTAGATGTTAAGTTCCAGTATTCCATCTTACGTACCTTTCCATCCCATCTTATCGAACCATATTCTACTTTTTTGTCATTCTCATTACTACTATGATCGTTTCGACCTGTAAGTTGTTCGTTTTGTTCATTTTACCTCGTTGTACTGACATACGGTGTGGTAACTTCCAATTATGTATATTTGCACCAGATTCCACATTACATATAGCTGACCATGTGTTACTTACAACTTACCTCCAATGGATCATAGGCCACCGACAACCATTCTACAATCCACTCTGTCCTCGGCCTTCCTTTCTAGTTCTATCCAACTCTTGTTCATTCTTCTGATATCCGTCTACATTTCTCAGCCCAATGTGTTCTTTGGTCTTCCTCTTCCCCTTTGACCTTGATGATTTCATATGAGGGCTTACCTTGTGATGCAGTTGGATGCTTTCTTCAATGTGTGTCCTATTCACTCCCAGTGCTTCTTTATGATTTCTTCCTCCTCTGGAATCTAATTTGTTCTCTCCCACAATAGGTTGTTGTTGATAGTGTCTGGTCAACCGATCTGAAATATTTTGTGTAAATAACTGTTAATAAACTCTTGTATCTTCTGAATGATGACTTTCGTAGTTAGCCAAGTTCCCACCCCATACAGTAGAACTGTCTTGACATTTGTATTAAAAATTCTGACCTTGGTGTTGGTTGATAGGCAGTTGTTTTAAGTTCCATATCTTCTTCAATTTTAGATATGTTACTCTTGCTTTGGCGATCCGTGCCTTTACACCTGCACCAGATCCACCCTGTTCATCAATGATGCTGCCCAAATACGTAAAGGTTTTTACATCTTCCAAATCTTCTCCGTCAATTGTGATTGGATTGGTGCATTCTGTGTTGTATCGGAGAATCCTGCTTTTCCCTTTGTGTATGTTGAGACCTACTACTTCTGAGGCTGCTGCCACACTGGTCGTCTTCTCTTGCATTTGTTGTTGGGTGTTCGATAGAATAGCCAGATCATCAGCGAAGTCTAGATCATCCAGCTACATTTTAGCTGTCCATTGTATCCCATGCTTCCCCTCAGATGTTGACGTCTTCATGATCCATCCAGTCGATCGCTAGGAGAAAGAGAAAGGGTGAGAGTAAGCAACCTTGCCTGACACCGGTCTTTACCTCGAACGAGTCTGTGAGTTGTCCTCCATGCACGATTTTGCAGTTTAATCCATCATAGGAATTCTGTATGTTATTGACTATCTTCTGAGGCACGCTGTAATGTCGGAGAACCTTCCATATTGTTGTCTCGTTCACGCTATCAAATGCTTTCTCGTAGTCAATGAAGTTGATGTAGAGTGATGAATTTCATTCAATTGATTGTTCCACAATGATCCGTAGAGTCGCGATTTGGTCTGTACACGATCTATCCGTACGGAATCCAGCCTGTCAATCTGGAATTTGAACGTCTACGGTATCCTTCATTCCGTTTAGCAATACCCTGTTGAAGACTTTTCCTGGTATTGAGAGAAGAGCAATGCCCCTGTAGTTATCACACTTGCTGAGATCTCTTTTCTTTGCCATCTTGATCAGGTGTCCTTTTTTCTAGTCTCTTGATACTTGTTCTTCATCCCAAATCTTGCTGAAGAGAATGTGGAGTATCTTTGCAGTTACTACTACATCTGCTTTCAGTGCCTCTGCTGGAATGTTGTCTGGTCCTGCTGCTTAGCCACTCTTGATTTGTCTGATGGCCATGCTGATCTCTTCAATCGTTGGTGGGCCAATATTGATTGGGATGTTCGTGGGTGCTGCTCCGATGTTGGGTGGGTCCAGTGGAGCTGGTCGATTCAAGAGTTATTTGAAGTGTTCTACCCACCTGTTTCGCTGTTCTTCGATGTTGGTGATTATTTTGCCCTCCTTGATTTTCACTGGTCGTTCTGGTTTACGGTAATTTCCAGCGAGTTTCTTCGTTGTGTCATACAATTGTCTCATGTTTCCTTCTCTTTCAGCCTTTTCCGCCGTCGTTGCTAGATCTTCAACATAATTTGCATTTGTCGGTTCTGATGCTCCTCTTCGCTTGCTTGTTCACTTCTGCGTATTCAGCTTGTGACTTGGCTTTCTCTGTTCTTGTTCGGACGGTATTGATTACTTCTATCTTGTTCCTCCTTTCTTGAATCTTATCCAGTGTATCAAGAGTGATCCATTCTTTGTGATGGTGCTTCTTGTGACCGAGGACCTCATGACATGTTGAAGTGATTGCCTCTTTGATCCCTTTCCAGTTGCTCTCCATAGTAGTTCCTTCTCCATTGAGTAGATCATGAAGGGCCTGGGACTTGTTGCTGAGGACTATTATGAATTCGTTGAGTTTTCCAGTATCCCGGCAAAAAAGCCGTATTAAACTTTTGTGCTGTTGTCCGCTCCGTTTCCCAGTGCTTCCTAAGTTTCAGTTTCATCTTGGCGACCAGCAAGTGATGATCTGATGCTATATCAGCTCCTCTCTTGGTTCTCACTTCCTCCATCGTCTTTCTGAACTTTTTGTTTATGCAGATATGGTCGATTTGGTTTTGCGTAGTGTGATCCAGTGAAATCCATGTGGTTTTGTGCATGCTTTTATATGGAAATATGGTGTCGCCTATGACCAGTTTGTTGAAGGCACATAGGTTTGCAACTCTCTCATCGTTGTCGTTCCTTTCTCCCAGTCCATGTCGTCCCACGATGTCTTCATATCCTGTGTTGTCCATTCCAACCTTGGCATTTAGGTCTCCCGTCACAATGATCAAGTCCTTTATTGGGCATTTCTCAACGACTGACAGCCTATCGTAGAATTAATCTTTTATGTTTTCATTGTAATGATTGGTATGCGCATAACATTGGATGATGTTCATTGTAATGCCCTCTTTCTTTGTTTTGAAGGAGGCTTTGATGATCATGGGTCCATGAGATTCCCATCCTATAAGTGCTTTTTGGTTTGTTTGGATAGCATCAATGCAACTTCTTGTGTATGCGGAGCATTTCCTTCTTCATGGCTGGAGTATATAAGTAGCCCTCCTGAAGCTCGTCTATGTTGTCCAACCTGCGTCCAATATATTTCACTAATTCCATGCACCTCCAGGTTGTATCTTTACATTTCTGCAGCAACGCGAATGACTCTCCCAGTCTCCCACATTGTATGGACATTCTATGTACCTAAATTAATGGTTTCTCTGGATTTTAGAAGGGGCATCAGCCTCTTGACTTCCGAAGGAACTAGGTTTTCATCATGAGACGTCATAACTCTTCTAACTCCCAGTGAAGAGTTTAAATGGTTTGAATTATTTTTTATGGTTAGCGTTTTTTAGCGAGTTAGTCTTCTATGGGGTGGGGTCACTAACCGCACGCCCAACCCTCCTCCTCTATTTGGGCTTGGGGTCGGCAGTAGCCCCAGAGGGGCTCTAGACGTAGTTTTACAAATCACTTCTCTTTCCTATAAATAATATGGCTAAGCCAAGCTCAGTCACTGTAAATGCACGAAATAACTTAGATTTACAATAAATTAGATTGATGTAGTGCACATGTATATTATGCTAGGTACAAATAACAAAACAAAGAGTAACAAGCGTAAGTATGATTTTAGTGAGTTGTTATTCATGCATTCACGATTTATCTATCTACGACACCTAACAGCCTTTGTTTTGGTCTAAATAAAGTTTAAGGCTTACTTAAGGCAATCATTTATATTCATTCTTATTGTTCAGTAGTGGAGTCGCTACTACACTACATTCTTTTACCCTCAACAAATTGGTTTGTTTCTAACTTGATCAAGTGGTTAGTTTAGTTTTAGAAAAATGAAATGGTGTTGTTAGAACATGCCTGCCAAAAGACAGGCTTCCACTCGAGAACAACTATATTTTCTCCATGAGTGTCTTCGCCAGCATGTTCTACCAACAAGTGTAAGATATAGACCTCCAATCAACTGCCAATTAGGATGGAGGATAGCCGAGCAAAGTGGAAGAAAAATGGTACACCTAATGATAACGGATGCACACTACAGGATCTGCAAATACCAACACGTCATAGAGGACCAAAAGATAAAGCTACAAAGGATGCTCACATCAGAACATTTGGAAATCGTGACAACAGCCATCGAGATAACATGCAAACGACATAGAGAACAAAGAAGAAACACCTTAAAGAAAAAAACTAATCAAGATCTCTGAACCACCCATGGAAGAAAACACAAACAACTGCGTGATCAATCTGTCAAAACAACCACTAACAAATACGGAAGAACACCTGCTCCAAAAAGGATTAAACTACAATACAAGCGACGCCTCAAAGCTGGAGTTCTTCGCAGCACTAGAGTCATCACTCAAAACTTCCGGAATCAGTAAAGAAACACAACAGGAAATAAGGCAAACTATAGTATCGATAACTCAACAGGTGAAAGAAAACAACCAACTGACTCCACAAGAACAAAAGGCCTTGAAAGAACTCAGAAATAGAAAAGATATTTTCATAATACCAGCGGACAAAGGACGCACCACAGTAATCATGGACAAAGAAGAATACGTCAACAAAGCCGAAGAACTACTCGAAGATAAGAGCACATACAAACTAATGGACACAAATCCCGTCAAAAAATTAGACAACCAAATCTCAAAGACGCCAAAAGAAATAGTGTTGTATTTCACTACCGTCCATGAGTTGGATTTTATATATGTTTTACTAAAATAGTGTTCATTAGGCGTCTGTTATTAGCTCTATATAATAAATTTCATTTTTGAGATGATGGTTTACTCTGTATATGATAATAATGTTGTTGTTTTTTATTCCCAACAGGTATCTGAAGGTCGCTTACGTATTATTCCCAGTTTCCATATTCGTACATGGAATAATTGGCTTAAAGATTGTCATGATTGGTGTATTTCTCGACAATTATGGTGGGGACATCGTATTCCTGCTTATCATGTTTCGATTCGACGTGCTGGAGTAGATAATTTAGAAGTTTTAGATGTAAGTGTTGAATTTTAGTTTTTTTTAATAGTTGAGTTCATGAGTCAATTAAAGCTAGACGACCGTAAAAAACCTAGAAGCACTAAACGGCCGTTTCGTCCTATTATAGGACTCCTCAGTAGAGCGCATCGACGGTCCCGCTCACTGAATTCGAACCCAAGACCTTCGATCTCGCGCGCGAGCGCTTAACCTGAGCTGGCATCTTATGGTGGTAATGTCTAACTTTAACCAACCCATGAACTCAACTGTTAAATTACTACGATCTCCACAAAATCCCTTTTTGACAATTATAATTTCTTTTTTGTGTTCTACATTTTTGAAGGAATTTTTGGCAAAGCTATGATATACTGATCACCTTGGGGTGACTTATCAGCCAATAAGGAGACGCTGCCTAGTTATAAAACAGTTAACAATATAAAGTAATGAAATTACGGTGGAATAACAGCTTCGATCGCTATCATTAACCCTCACTAGTCAAATTATCCCTTGTAGTAAAGAAAAAATGATGAAAAGTTTACATATTATGTATATATATATTAGGAGTTGGGCTTGTGTTTTGAGTTAGGGTTATCACCTCATGGAGTTTTCGTCACAACCTTATAATGCGAAAAGTTTAAGGTTATGTATTAAGAGTTAAACTGGAGTTTGGTTTACAAATTAGGATCAAGGATTTCAACACGAACTGATATCAACTATAATGTAATGCCTTTCCACCTTCCTGTGTTCAAACTTGAGAAACCTAGGTTTGAAATTTAAAGTGAAATAAAGTGAAGGGAGAATATTATCTAACTTCACTAAACACTCTTGATTACGCAATAAATTACATCAAGCACTGTAACATACAATCTGCCACAGGAGCATGTGTATTTTGTAAGTTAGCTAAAGTACCATTTAAAATTGACTTTTTGATTGAGAAATAGATATTTTCATTGATTTAAAGCATTTTAAGGTCCAAATATTCCCAATTTTTACTTGTTTAATCATAACATCCATGTTACATATCACAACACTTTAAACTCCGCTCAAAAATACATTAGGTATTACTCTGGATCTGATGGGCTAACTGAAGGCCTTCAATCTATTGTAATTTTATCGAATTGTCATTCTAAACTTTTCATTTATCAATCTTACTTGTTAAACGCATTTTCCAATTACTATTTTTTTTATTTCAACACATAGATAATGGTACAAAGAGGCACCAAATACATGTGCGCCACACAAATCTCATTCGATATGTGTGAGGGTGCCCAGACCGAAGCAGGTGGTTTTCTTAAGGAGCCACTCCCCGAGCCTTTGATCTAATGGTCTGATCCACAAGGCAGTGGAGCATCGTAAGGAGATGCAGTCCCATGGAAGCCGGTGACCAGCAATTGGTTCATACGCCATTTGTTCCCTCAGGATACTGGAGCCCATGTGCACCATTGGTTTTGAATCCGGTTAAAGCGCCGGACATTCGCTTTTCGTCCTCTCATTTTCGTAAACAACACCCCCGCCACGAGAAAACAGTGAGTAGGACTTCCCTGGCAGAGGCTATATACGCGTGGCCGTGTGAGAGCATTTCGAGAGGGAGAGCGGACTCTCCCCACTCTCGGCCGTACCAGGGCATTTGGGGGCACCAATTACTATTAGAGTATAATCTGCTTTAATAATTTAAGTAATTCACTAAATTTCAACATAAACACAAAACAGTTGACTATGTTGAACTAATCTGTATAAAATGAGCATTTAGACATCGTAGTTTCACTCAGTGATTTCATGCTGCCCTCCCACAAGAAGGGGTGGGGTTAGAAAAAGTCGACCCTAAAAATGCACACCTCGTCTTATCCCACGGATATCCGTCTCCGGCGGTAAGGTCTCAACAAGTACGGAGCTAATACAAAAATTACTCAGAAAAAGGTCATGTGTGACCGACCTCAAGCAGTTGTCCCTTGAGCACTGCGGTCACGCTCTCAGGTCACTAAGACCACCTCTATTCCAATTTCCTTTTCAGGTACCTCCAGAACAACCCTTCCACGGTGTGGGCAACCGGGAAGTGATAACCGCCCTCATACCTCTACCAGCACTCAAGACTGACTGACAGTAAACCTCCTTATCATATTCTCATTCTTTAAGATATGACGTCAATTTATTCTCGTTTGCATATCCTCACCAATGCTGTTACTAGTGATGTTCAAAATGTAATGATATTCAAAACTTATTTAGTTAAGATTTATAAAAATACATTAAATGATCAAACCAAGTGTTTGATCAGAGTGTAACTTCATTAAAACATTTGGATTGTTTTTAATAGGAATTAGATTCCATTTTAATTTTCTTTTGGATTTATTGTTGTTTCAGCCTACAGATCATAATTCATGGGTAGTTGGTCATACAATTGAAGAAGCACTTCAAAAAGCCTGTGATAAATTCCATTGTTCACCAGATAACTTAACTTTAAACCAAGATAATGATGTATTAGATACATGGTTCTCTTCACAATTATTTCCATTCTCTGTATTTGGTTGGCCTGAACAAACACCAGATTTAAAAGCTTATTATCCTGGAAGTTTATTAGAAACTGGGCATGATATTATATTTTTCTGGGTTGCACGTATGGTTATGATTGGTTTGAAATTAATGGGACAATTACCATTTCATACTGTCTATTTACATGCTATGGTTCGTGATGCTCATGGCAAAAAAATGAGTAAATCTTTGGGTAATGCAATCGATCCAGTAGATGTCATCAATGGAATATCTTTAGAAGGTACGTTATGATTGTTTTTCATCATTGTTTATCTCTCTCTTTCTGTGTATTATGTTAGATATGACTGAGACCTTAATCACGGACGTAGGTTGTATTGTTTTGCATTACGTCAGTTGATAATTTGGTTTGGGATTTTCGAAGACGGAGTATCGGTTTTCGTGTGATTGTATAAAGCGCCTCACTAATAAGTGCTACTCATAACGAAACCTATGAAATGATAGCTTATTGCCTTTCAACCAGTAGGTTGCAGACCCAAATCCTATTTGATCTACCTACCGTATGGTATTACTAGTCGTTACACAAATTAGTGTACCTCAAAACTAGATACTGAATCATGCACTTCTTAGATTACTCCTGTTTAACCAGAGGCTCTCACCTCAATCCCGAATTACTTGACGTAGAAGAGTCACATTTCAAAATGCTTGGTAAAATGTGGACCCGGAACATGATATTGAATATTTGCTAAACGATTGTTCAATGCGAGCATCTCGATTGTGGAGGAAATTAGTCTCAATCTGTTTTTGTGCTGTGTTCAGTTCTCATGGACGATATCAGTTCTAATCAAGATAGAATACTTGCATTGCCGACCAGTTCTCAATAACACGAAATCTACGTTCGGGGATTTCTGCTACTTTGCCTACAATACCTAAGGCATTGGTCCTACACTCTTTGTTAATCATGTCGTAGAGTAGGTGAACTCCATTATTATTAGGGAGGGCGTGCGTGTAGGCAGTTACCACCCCCTTACTTCCTACACCATGGAGGAATATTACTTTTTGAAGGACTTAAAACGAAGATTGAGTTAGTAGGTGTCATGAAAACCTAAGAAATCGACCATTGCCTATGACCAATCACGCATACCTCTGTATCGGAAATTTTTAAGGCCAATCTTGTAAAAGTCCTAATTGAAAAAAGACATCATCACTCAATATTCATGCAAAATACCATTCTGCTATCATACCCGCATGTACAGTTGAAAATGTAACTTCTTCTTTTAGACTTTAGATTTACCACTTTTGATCTTACCACTCTCCATCCAAATTTGTTTGGCATATTAAACATCCTTTTAGAAATAATTATTTCAATGAGCATAGCTTGACTTAGTCATCACAATGGATAGACAAAGTTTATCACCAAATCAAAATAACAGTCACAATTGGTTATTACTGCTTGAGCTGCTAGAGGTACAGTGGTTTTGAATGCTGTTAGAGGTATGAGGGCGGTTATCACTTCCCGGTTGCCCACACCGTGGAAGGGTTCTTCTAGAAATATCTGAAAAGGAAATTGGATTAGAGGTGGTCTTAGTGACCTGAGAGCGTGACCGCAGTGCTCAAGGGACAACTGCTCGAGGTCGGTCACACACGACCTATTTATGAGTAATTTTCCTGTTAGTTCCGTACTTGTTGAGACCTTACCACCGGAGACGGATATTTGTGGGATAAGGCGAAGTGTGCATTTTAGGGTCGACCTTTTTTAACCCCACCTCTCCTTGTGGGAAGGCAGCATAGCTGTCATGCTGGTTGTCTGAAGGAAACACCTTACTGCTATCACCTCTGTACAGTCAGCAGTACGACTTCGCCTTCGGACCTTAGGTTTTCTGCTTTTGGTCTTACCGCTCTTCAACCGACCTGTCTGACATGGTAGGACCTTGAGAAACGGTTGTTCCATCCAGTATAGCTTGGTTGTTTCATGAAGATAGGCGAGCCGGACCATCACGTTAAGGTAGCAACAACGGTCGGGACTCCTTGAGCTAAAACTGTTTGATTTCAAACTCTTCATACTGTTTCTAGCATCATATCATTATTGTTTTTCATCGATTTAATTAAGAATTGAGAACTAAAATTACTATCGAAATCATCCAATAATAATTATTGTTATAAAAAACATTCAATATTCATTTCTATACTATTCAATTATGACTGAGTAAGTTTTGTTTGATTATCAAACGTTTCATTGAGAGTCTACAAGAACAATCGATCATAACAACACGGCTGCATATTTCGAAATTCTATATTTTGTAATCGGATCACCATAAACAATCGCATTTTTCATTTCTGACGATTTATTTTTTACTGTTGAAATCTAAAATGATGATGTGTAGGAGGTTCTAGAATGTTTTGCTGATGAATAATGAATGAAATTTCTTCTCATATCAATTACGAATACTCACAATGTGTCAGTCAGTTAGTCAGTAACAACGTAGAACTTCGTACGTACGTACATCAGTTCGAGTTGCCATACCACATTAGCATACAGATACAATTGTCAATTCAAATCCCGTAGTGGTAGAAGTGGTAAGAGTACAAGCAGTAATCGGAAAGATTAAGGTTTGAAGATGTTATTGAAGGAGTATAATCCAGTGAAATAAATTTGGAAAAAGAAAAAAACACGGGACATGAAGAGTTCAGAAGATCAGAATTTGGGAGAACAGAAAGAGTGGATGCACCTGCGCCATTGCAAACGATTTTGAGCCATATCATTCAAGGTCTTTAACCATAGGTTGCTATCATCTCGCGGTCCCCAACCAGGTAGTCTACACCTACCAACATGGCTCAGTCCATTTGTCAATGACTTCATGGACTTGTGCCATGTATTGGTCCGGCCGCCTCCAGCTTACTTCCAAGATACCCCTACACCATATAACGTCGGTCATTCGGTGGTCGGGCATACGTAACACATGTCCCTGCCACCTCAACTGAAGTAACTAATAGTTATCATCAACTTATTGTTTTGTTCTCATTAACTAATAAAATTGGTTACTTTTTGTTTGACATAGATTTACAAAAACAATTAGAACAAGGTAATCTTGATCCGAACGAATTAACACGTGCTCGTCAAGCTCAAGCAAAAGATTTTCCTAAAGGTATTCCTGAATGTGGAACTGACGCTCTACGATTTGCTTTATGCGCTTATACAGCTCAAGGACGAAATATCAATTTGGATATAATGCGTGTACAAGGCTATCGATTTTTCTGTAATAAACTATGGAATGCTGTTCGGTATGTATATCCCATTATGAATAAGGATTTGAATTGTCTAGTTGTTGATATTCATAACCAGATATTCTTATAAGCGTTGGTTGATATATGTGTGTATGCTGTGCAGATTTCTTCAGTTCAACCGTTCCTTTTTCATACTCTTTTTAAATAGATGATTTGTGGTTAACAGTAAAATCCATCGTATCCACCTTCCCCAGCTGGATGTACGTGTCTTCCAATGTTTTTGTATCTATGTTTCACTGCTAGCCACAATTCATCTATCCTAAAGAATATTTTATTTTCTAAATAAACAGTTGGATACAGATGGGAAAACGTTCAAGTTTACTTTTGGTTAGTGTTATAGGTGAAAAGCTTGAAAGCTAATTCTTGTTAGGAGCATTCAATAATCCATCAAAGGTATCTTCAGAAGCTGAAAAAAATTCTCAAACTATTTTGTACAATCAGCGTTCGTTAGAAATCCTCATGACGAGTTTAGGAATCAATGGATTGACTGATTGTTAATATTATTACCAGTTTAAGCATGTTTTCTAAAATTAGCTCTTGATTACAATACTATAAGTGCCCTTGTTCTCCGCATATAAGCTAACCATAGAACTAAAGTTCTTTCTATACTTCCTGAGTATTGTTTTTCTTATCAGAAGGCTTTTGTGGATATTATAGTGATTTCAATAGTTGAGTTCATGAGTCAATTGAAGCTAGACCACTATGGAAAACCTGGAAGCCTTGGACGGCCGTTTCGTCCTATTGTGGGACTCCTCAGCAGTGCTTATTGATTAATCTACTATTCTATTTCTTTTGATTTCATTATATCGCATTCGTCTTGATTTTTTATTCATAGTGGTTTGCCCTGATATAAATTTATCCGGCAGTGATTGTATACGCGTGGACATATGAGATCATTTCGAGACAAAGAACAAAATCTCCACACCATCGACCGTACCAGAGCATTGGAGGCGGGAACTCTTTTTTGACTCCTTATTCTTAAAACCTAACCTTCTGCGTTATAGTTGATATCAGTTGGTAATGAAAATGAGATTTGGAAAACTCTGGTTCCAAACCCAAGGTGCAAATGGGATCCTGAGTGAACAAATGGCGTATGAACCTATTGTTGGTCACCGGCTAACATAGGACTGTGTCTCCTGATGTTGCTCCACTGTTTTGTGGATCCAGACCTTTAAGTCGAAGGCTCCGAGTGCGATCCCCTAACAAAACCACCTGCTTTGGTTTGGGCACCTGGGCAGTATCTTAACCATCGCACTAATCTAATGACGAAGTGTGGCACCTATGTATTCGGTGCCCCTTTGTATTTGTATACTAATACGGTGTATTTGCATCGAAACTATTATCCGACCGTAATTTTCTTTTGTCTCTATTCATATTTAATTCTTTTCTTTTCTTTCTTTTGATTTAATTTCAAGTTATGCGCTATTTCATTGTTTACATAAAGAATTTATTCCACCAGATATGTCTGATTTAAATAGTCTATTCAAACAATTCATACAACATAGTTTATTATCTGGTACAGATAGATGGATTCTATCAAGATTAGCTTATGCTGTCATTCAATGTAATACAGGATTTACAGAATTTCAATTTCCTATAGCTACTACTGCTTGTTATCATTTTTGGTTATATGAATTATGTGATGTTTATTTGGTAAGTTTGTTTGTTTGTTTGTTTCTTTTTCCCCTCTCTCTCTCCCTCTTGTTTGTTCAAAGTTTTAATTTAATCAGATTAAACTGGTGTAATTTTCATGTAAATGATTACTATTAGGGTTATAATGCATTTACAATACTATAATACAAATATTGTTATATGCGTAACCCTCCGAATGCCCTAGTATGGCTGAGAGTGGAGTGGACCCGCACTCCCTCTCGAAATGCTCTCACACACCATGCATATGCAGCCTATGCCAGCAAAATCCTACTCACTGTTTTCTCGTGGCGGAGGTGTTGTTTACGAAAATGAGAGGACGAAAAGCGAATGTCCGGCGCTTTAACCGGATTCCAAACCAATGGTGCACATGGGCTCCAGTATCCTGAGGGAACAAATGGCGTATGAACCAATCGTTGGTCACCGGCTATCATGGGCATGCATCTCCTTACGATGCTCCACTGCTTTGTAGATCATACCTTCAGGTCGAAAGCTCTGGGTGAGGTCCCCTAAGAAAACCAACTGCTTCGGTTTGGGCACCCGGGTAGTATCACAGCCCTCATACATATCAAAATGAGATCTGTGTGGCGCATATGTATTTGGTGCCTCCTTGTACCAATGTTTATGTGTTTAAATAAATAATAAATAGAAAAAACTACTTATTAACATAACTGACTAGGACATGTGTTTCCCATGGTCAACTACCGTTCACTCTGATGTGTAATATTGTGTTGCGTAAGAATAGATTGGAAGAAAGGTACGCATAACTAAATCAATATGCAGTATATATATTGGTGCTTCTTTGTACCAGGGTTTCTGTTTCAATAAATAAATTATCCCCGAAGAGGTGTCGATTTCGAGCTAGCTGATACTTGCTAACAAAGTTATATCTGTCAGAAAGTTCCTATACCTTTTGTTAACTTCAATGTAATTGAACAATAATACGTACTTATAAGAATTTTTACCCGATTTAACTTTGTCTATCTTCTGTCGACTAATCACATTACAATATGGAAACCAAATGTTGAATACGAGTTGCGTTTAAGACAGAGGTTTATTTTAGACACTCATTTAAACAGGCAAAGTGGAAGAGATAGTATGGAAATTGGGTAGATACAGATAGGCGTAGCTGTTATAAAAACCTACCCAGTAAATTATGGGCGACTTAGTCTTTATATAAAGTGAATAATATATAAATAATAGATAATCATCAATTAGAGTATACATGGACAGATTTATGTAAGGCGAGCGCAACTACAAAAATGTTCAAAGTTAATAGCATATAAACTTACACATTGATGTGATCCAATGTTGAAGTTTATCCTTTGAAACATTCACAAATGATCTAACTCAGCATCCGAAGATCAGAAAAAAGTCACATAATAGTTTCTATCAATCTACCGTTATTATCATTTGTTTTTTATCCGTATGGGGTTATGGAGATTGTTGGGTTTTTGATTAAGATCATGAGTCGATCAATATTAGACATCACTATTGAAAACGTGGAAGCACTGGATGACTGTTTCGTTCTAGTATGACACTCCTCAGCATTGTGCATTCCAAATCCCATATATGGGATTCAAACTCAGGATCTTTGATCTTACGCGCGAACTTTTAACCTCTAGACCACTGATCTATCATTTTAAATGTTGTTCATGTTTAACTTCAACCAATTTATGAAATTGCACAATCATTTATTATCTAAGGTAGATACCTGTCTCTATCTGATTTTCCATTAACCTGGTTTGTTAGTTTTGTTTTAGTTTCAACATTTTGATAACATAAAAGTAATATTCGTGGATTGGTTGAAGTTAGACATTAACACCGTTGGATGCCGGCTCAGTGGTCTAGTTGATTAAGCGCCTGGCGCGAGACTGATAAGTCCTGGGTCCGAATTTCGTGGGATGTGGGATCGTGGATGCGCACTGTTGAGGAGAATTATACTAGGACAAAACGGCCGTCCAGTGCTTCCAGGTTTTCCATGGTGGTCTAACTTCAATTAACTCATGATTTCAATCAGTGTAATTTCTAAAATCTCCACAAAACCCCTTCTGATAATATTCCTATTCATCAAATATATTTGTTATTCACCTTTTCCCATTTTCCACTTTTTTGTATATACTCCATTTATAGGAATATACCAAACCTATTATTAGATTAAAACAGAATAATTCAAAATTGTCTAATATGGAAATGGAACGTATTCAATTAGTTTGTCAAATCCTTTATGTTTGTTTCAATTGTGGTCTACGTTTATTACATCCATTTATGCCATTTATTACAGAAGAATTATATCAACGTTTATTAACTAGAAATAGTCCTAATAATAATAATACTGTAAATAGTATGGATAGTCTATGCGTGAAATCCTATCCTAAACTCAGTGATGTATGTCTACTTAATTATTTATTATTCATGTATTTATGTATGTTTATGATTAATTTTCATTTTACATTTACATAACCAATTTATGTATAGTATACTACAATATGCCCCTTAAATGCCCTGGTACGGTCGAGAGTGGGGAGAGTCCGCTCTCCCTCTCGAAATGCTCTCACATGGCTACGCATATATAGCCTCTGCCAGGGATGTCCTACTTATTGCCTTCTCGCGGCAATCCGCACAGGATACACATACGTTAACATGAGACTGATCAATTGTCCGGCGCTTTAATCGGGTTGGTGGACACGGAGAGTTCATCTAGGGGAGTTGGAAAACCCTCATTCCAAACCAATGGTTCACATGGGCTCCAGCACCCTGAGGGAACAAATAGCGTATCAACCAATCGTTGGTCACCGGCTACCATGGGACTGCATCTCTTTATGATGCTCCACTCCCTTGTGGATCATACCTTCAGGTCGAAAGCTCTGTGTGAAGTCCCCTAAGAAAACCACCTGCTTCGGTTTGGGCACCCGGGTAGTATCACAGCCCTCACACATATCGAATGAAATCTGTGTGGCGCATATGTATTTGGTGTCTCCGTGTACTAATATCCATGTGTTAAAATAAATAATAAATAATATAGTACAGTATAACCGTTAATCAATCATTACTATTGTCTAATATGTACATATAACCATTACACTTATTCATTAATTTTGAATATATAGTTGATTTGTTTGAAATAGTCATTAGGAAACTGTGCACCTTAGTTACTCACTAGTTGGTACTTGATAATTCAGTCACACTGTATACCTGCAATCTTAGATGAACTGATGAATCTAAACTTGGACCACTTAGATTCACGTTCTAAGAAGTTACTACTTAGTTATTCAAGCTGTAACTTGATCTTCCGTAAGACTGAGTTATTTACAGTTAGTTCGTCATTGAATGGTACATACCACTGTCTTATTTACTGAATTGTTTTTAGTGCTACTGATTGAATTCTGTGAATCAAGTTGTTATAAGCTTGCTAGTCTGAGTGACTCGACATGGATACACAATGTTTAGATGTTACGTGGTTGGAGGTAATTAATTGAAAACTCTGAACTTAAACTTCGTTCTAGTTGACATTCGTCAGAAATAAGAATTACCTATAATCTTTCAGGTCCCAACCAGGAAGTTGTGATTAACCGACAGATTTCTTTCATACTTCAGCACTATTATAAACTAATCACATCTCCACTTTTTCCAGACAATAGTTTGATTTTTAGGTTTTGTTTGGGGGGACTTTTGAAAGACTCTAATTGGCTTAAAGTAGTATTCTATGTTCTCTCAAATAGTATCACTTTTATTGCTGCTGCTACTACTACTAATTCTGTTTATGCAGTCATATAATCCTAATATATCATATATGTGTATTAGGTTACGTTAGGTGTCAGGAAACTTCTTTTCACTTAATTAACAGGTTCATCAGTTGGATATACTTGAATCAAATCACTGATATCAACACCGTATATTCATTATCTGGCAAACAAGGAATAGGCATATCCATCTGTATTTAATATGTGAGATGACTCTTACATAAAACTGATTTCACTATGAATTCATCGCTTTTTATATTGCATAATAATATACTTTAGTTCTAGTCTATATCATAAATCAGATCGAAAAATTGAATTCAGTGTATCATATGATCAAGTATGGTGATTAATCGATCTAATTAGTATCTATGGGGTAGGTTTCTAAACGCAAAACTGCCAGTTTTTTTCTTCTATCATAACTCACTAAATCAGCGATTTAGTTTTAGAGATTTCTATAAATGATTGATTATAATTTGTGACATGGCTCAGAATCAACCACATTGATGTAGGTGTATACACTCTCTGTCTTCTTTTAAACTATGAGATTAAATTCGCTTCATATCTTTCTTTCGACGAACTAATTCTTTCTTCCAGTACTATATCCTTATATATAATCTTTCTTTCCTGACCGTAACTGCTACCTTGACGCGGTGGTCGGGCTTGCCTATCGTGATGACTCAACCGAGCTATATTGGCTGGAACATATGTTCCTGTAGGTGTGGACTACTTGGTTGGGATTCGCGAGACGATATCAACCTATGGTTAAAGACCTTGAATGATATGACTCAAAATCGTTTGCAGTGGCGCAGGTGCATCTACTCTTTGTGTTCTAATTTTCTGAATTCTTCATGTCCCTTGTTTTTTTCTTTTTCCAAATTTATTTCACTGGATTATACTCACTGAATAACATCTTCAAACCTTAATCTTTCCGATTACTGCTTATACTCTTACCGCCTCTACCACTACGGGATTTGAATCAACAATTGTATCTGTATGCTAATGTGGTATGGCAACTCGAACTGATTTACGCACGTACGTACGAAGTTCTACGTTGTTACTGACTGGCAATCTTTCTTTTATATATTACTACCATTGAACTAACTACCTCTATGAGTCCGCAGTTCATCTTGTTGTGCTAATGCAGTATGGCAACTTAGACTGATGCACATATGTGCCTGATTCTACGTTGTAACTGACTGACTGATTGGCTGTAAAATTATTTGATCGAGTTAAAGAGTGAAAGATTTTTTGATTGTATTATATTGTTTGTTTTTGTTTCTTTGTTATCATTGTTGATACTCTTATTATCAGGTAAATATATTACATGATGTAAATGGAGTTGAAACAGATTTTCATCTTGTACTGAATATTATTCATCGTATACGTGGACTTATTTCAGCTTGTCATATACCAATATCACTTGCAAATCGTCAACCTTTAAATGTTCAATTAATTGCATCTGAAACTATATTATCTACTCTTATTAATGGACAATATGTAACTGATGTAATTGAACCATTAGGTCGATGTCGTGTTATACAAATGGTTTCTGATCGTAAAAATGGTAAGTGTTGTGATTATTTATTTATTTGGGCCCATTAACATTGATACAAGAGGGGGCACCAAATACATATATGCCACACAATAAAAATGAGGCCAGAAGGTATTATCATTGATTTATGTGAGGGCTGTGATACGGCCTGGATACCCAAACCGAAGCAGGTGGTTTTCTTAGGGGGCTAAAACTCTAGCCTCTGACTTAGGGATCTAATTTATAAGGAAGTGGAGCAATGTTAGGAGATACACTTCCATAGTAGTCGTTGACCAACAATGGGTTCATACGCCATTTGTTCACTCAGGATCCTGGAACCCATGTGAACTAATGGTTTGGAATCTGGCTTTTCCAACTCCTCTAGGTAAACCCTCTGTCCACCATCCCAGTTAAAGCGTCGGAAATTCACTTTTCGTCCTCACAATTTCGTGAACAACACCCACTTTGAGAGAAGGCAGTGAGTAGGACTTCTCTGGTAGTGACTGTATACACGTGGCCATGTAAGAACATTTCGAGAGGGAGAGATGAACCTCCCTACCCTTGGCCGTACTAGGGCATTTGGGTGTATGTCAGTTTTGATTGTTCAGTATTTATTTTTTTTGTTTTCCGACTTGATGTTTGATTACAATTATAATTTCCATATTTTTTTCTTAGTTAACACTTCTGGTTGTGTTAGTGGAACAGTTTCAGCAAGTGATATTTTATGGTCCAACGAAGAGTCACCTGTTAATACAGTTCCCGAAGACAATGACGATGATGATGCTAATAACTTAAATGGTGGAAATCTATGTTCCGATGTTCAATCAAATTCTGTGTTTGTTAACAAAAATCCATCATCAATAATTCCAGCAACTTGTCAAATATTTCTACATGTCGCTGGATTAATTGATGTATCATTAGAACAGAAACGATGTCAAGATCGTTTAGTGGAATTGAAAGATTCCATTGAAAGTTTAGAGAAAAAACGTCAGCATCCAACGTATTCTGAGAAAGTACCAATGAAAACTCAATTGATGGATACGAAAAAAGTGATTTCGCTTTTTAAGTTATTAGTGATTTTTTATGAAAATTGTATTAATTTTCTGTATAATTCTTTGATTTACATTGAATGTTTATTTTTTATTTGTTTATTTGAACACACAAATACAGGTACAAGGGGGCATCGGATACATATGCGCCACACAGATCTCATTTGATATGTGTGAGGGCTATGATACTGCCCGGGTGCCCAAACCGAAACAGGTGGTTTTCTTAAGGGGCCACACCCCGAGCCTTCAACCTGAAGGTTTAATCCACAAGGCAGTGGAGCATCGTAAGGAGATGCAGTCCCATGGTAGCCGGTGACCAACGATTGGTTCATATGCCATTTGTTCCCTCAGGGTGCTGGAGCCCATGTGCACCATTGGTTTGGAATGAGGGTTTTTCAACTCCCCTGTGTGGACTCTCCATGTCCACCAACCCGGTTAGAGCGCCGAACATTCGCTTTTCGTCCTCTCAATTTCTTAAACAACACCCCCGCCATGAGAAGGTATTGAGTAGGACTTCCCTGACAGAGGCTATATACACGTGACCATGTGAGAGCATTTGGAGAGGGAGAGCTGACTCTCCTCATTCTCGGCCGTACCAAGGCATTTGGGGGCACATTGAATGTAACATGGCATAGATCTGTCTTACTTGTACACTGATGCTTAGAATAAATCGTCTTCAGTATACCAGACTATATAACTGATATCTGTGTGATAGTTGCAAGCAACAGTGAAAGTGATTAGGTGATGTGACTAAAAGTTTTTTTTACAATCATTCATAGTCAACGTGTAGGATTTTGCACAAACTATATATTAGTCCAAGTTACAACATCATATCAATATAGACAGGCAAAATTAACAAGAATAATGACAAAGTAAAAGCTCCTAAATAACTAGGTTCGGCCGATGGTGGGAATATTACACTTTCCTTCTTTAAATGCTCTCACATGGTCACGTGTATATAGCCGCTGTCAGGGAAATCCTACTCACTGCCTTCTCGGGGCGAGGGTATCTTTTACGGAATTGACATGAAGAAAAGCGGATATCTGGCGCTTTAACCAAATTAGTGAATACGGAGAATTCACCTAGAAGAGTTGGAACTATGGTTGCATGGTATAAGTAGTACTATCCAAAGTTATCAGTGGATCACTATGTAGCATTCTAGCTTTGGTTAATTGCACTGCTAAAAGATCATAAACCAAAACCGAAATAGCTCTTCATTATTGTTTATCTTTGTTTTTAATTGTTCATTAGGTGGTGGTATCCATTTGTGATTGTTTATTAGTATAAAGTGTTGGAATTTGTTAATCAATCACTAGAAAGTCATAAAATCTTAGATTTCATCCTAAATGAGGTCATGAATGTTTATTCTTGTTGAGAAATCATATACTAAGACACAACAAACTTTCAGTGTTTCTTCATTATTTTATTTTATTTAAACACATAAATATTGATTCAAGGGAGCACCAGATATATATGGGCTACACAAAACAATGAGAATGAGAAGGGAAAAAAATAAGGTAAGGTGCGTATGAGAAAAAAAAAAGCGAACAATAACGACCACAAATTAGTGTATGATAGTGAAATAACGATAGTAATAATAATTGGGGGAACGGAAAGGTACAACCAGAAGAATTCTTTCAGTTGAGGAAGTTACAACCACTTTTTATGAGGAAAGTAAAGGAAGGTTACAGCAGGATCGCCACTGACTTCTATTCTGAGCCATATCTGGTAACGTCTCTAGCCACTGTGTTGCATCATCTCTAGGACCCCAGCCAGGGAGTTGTAGAGGAACATTAGGGGCTGGTCCTGTACAGCTTTCTTTCACACCACGACACCATGTCATACACTGATCACCTCTCCTCTTTTTCCAACCAGTCCCAGCGTTGCCAGTGTTTTTTTTTAATTTTAAATAATTGTTTAATTGAACTCACTCTTTAGTGTAAAACGACAATTCGTCATACTTATATGCTTGTTATAACTAATTATTTAATCGAAACTAGTTCATTTCCACATAGAATTATAATTTAAAATGAATTCTTGAAATTCCTATTTGTATTGGTTTATGATATTTGAATTTCGAGGCTACTATCCTCTGAGTAGATCAGTAAGTATTATGATGGAGTTTTGTTCTCTGAGGTGGTTAGTTTGATCATGGAGCTTTCATCATTCATCTGAACGACATCATCAACACTTCATTTCTACCTGAAGCTTCACGACCAAACCAACCAGCTCAGAGAACAAAATTCCATGAAAATCATCCACATGAGCTATAAATCTTCCCTCAACATCAGTAAGTATTTTATGTTGTGACGGGCGGTGTCCAAAATCTGATACTGATACATGGTATACTATGCGCTAACCCCCCCCCCCAAACTGATTACTTGAACAAGAACACAAGATTAAGCGAGGAAGCGTATTGGACTACCGAATAAAATGCACAAATAATCATTCGTATATATAGACCACTCTAATCTTTAGGAAATTGATCCATTCCCTAGCCAATGAAATGCACTTGGCCTTTATGTCACTTCTGATTGCCATCGATTGACCTTTTCATTAGGCTACTTCTGATTAGCCCTCCATATCATTGTACCTTTGTACACTATAGATCCTACCGTGTATTATAAGTATTTTGGACCGTTAACAATTAACTATCAACTACTAGCTTGTAAACTGGAATTTCTATGTCTCTAAATTCACTTCTATGTTTAACTACCTTGTTGAAGTTAGACATTAACACCGTTGGATGCGGGCTCAGTGGTCTAGTGGTTAAGTGCTCGCGCGCGAAACCAGCAGGTCCTGGGTTCGAATCTCGCAGGGGGCGAGGTCGTAGACACGCGCTGCTGAGGAGTCCCACAATAGGATGAAACGGCCGCCCAGTGCTTCCAGGTTTTCCATGGTGGTCTAGTTTCAATTGACTCATGATTTTAATCTGAAATTTCTAAAATCTCCACAAAAAACCCATCTCATATTAACTACCTTTTATCAAATCAATCTGACGTAGTTACATCATAGGAAAAGTATAACTTACATTTCTTTAATGTCTCTTGGAGATAGAGTTCTGTGTGCTTTGTGATTTGTTTCCGGTTTATTTATTGTCTTATTCTATAGTTATATGAATTAAATATAGAATTAGAAGGATTAAATGAAGTTATGAACAATTTAAAAGATATTAAACAAATCAATACAAATGATTCTTCAATGACACTTGGTGAAATCCTTTTAGATGCTTTATGTAACTATCTTAATGTACAAGAAAATTCATCAATAATACCATCGAATCTATTTGATCTTGAAGCGAAAATTGACAGTATTCTAACCAATGAATTAAAAGGAGGCGATCAAGTAATGTGTTTTCTTATTGTTTTTTTTTCCACAATTCAATGTATGCTTATTGATTATTTGTAATGTTTCTTTTGCCCTGAAATCTTAACACATACCGCCTATATTTAGATAGTCGGTAATATTTTACCAGGATTTCAGTTAGCTAGCATTTTCTTACTGCGCTTACTTATGTCTATTACTACTTGTAGAGAGTATAGAATGTTGACCACCAATCTACAACCAATTATGTTCTTGGTTCTCCTTTCCAGTCGTTTCCAAATCCTATTTATTGTTTTGATGTCTGCCTCCAATTCTCAGTGCAATGTGTTCGTTGGTTTTCCTCTATTCCTTTTGCTATGACGATACTGAATTATGACTTGTCTCGTGTTGCAGTTCGATGATTTCCGCAATGAATATCTTTTCTTGATTTCCTCTTCAACTGTTAGCTGGTTTGTTCCCTGTGACGGTAGGCTGTTGCTGACGGTATCCGGCCAACGAATCTGAAGTATCTTGCATGGCTAGTCGTTTATAGATACCTGTACCTTTTTGATTATGGTTGTGGTAGTTCTCCAAATTTCAGCTCCATACAATGGAAAACTATTTAGAATTGTCTTGACATTTGTATTGAAAATTTTGCCGTTGGCTGACAGATAGTTGTTTTAATCTCCAAGTGTTCTAGAATTGTGGAAATTTTGTCCTTGCTTTGGCGATCCGTACGTTCGCATCTGCATCAGATCCTCACTGTTTATCAATGATACTATCCAGATACGTAAAAGTGTACACCTCTCCCAGAGCTTCTCCATCAAATGTGATTTGGTCGTTATTCAGTGTGTTGTATTTTAAAATATTGTTCTTTCTCTTGTGAACGTTGAGGCATAGTGCTGTACAGGCTGCTGTCAACTATTTCTTTAAAACCGTGGCCTAATGGTCAAAGATATTCAGTTTTGCAACAAATATGTCACAGACTCATGCCTTTTATTGGGACAGCATTATCAGTAGTATCTTTTAAGCGAAAATAAATTCGTGTCTCATAACCAAGTACGTCACTTTATACTTGTGATTGGAAGTGAGTGAAGTAGAAATCAATATCATAATTCTTTTGTCAGTAAGGTAAACATTTTCCCAATCCAGTTTAGGATGTATCCTGCAACATTATCGAAACAATCTTATTGTAGACAATCCTATTTTGTTATTAAACCCAATCAGCATAAACCGTTGAATCAGTTTTTCATCGTAATTTTATGTTGTTTTAAAAATGTGTATATGAACAATCGTATTTATTCTATATAAATAATTAGATTCAATCATAGATCAGGCGTTTGTCTTCTGATATTTCATCATTGAGATGTAAGGAATATGGATACAACTGAAAATGACATTGGAGAGAGGAGGTTATTTATATCTTTCTTGCTCCTGTTACTCCTCGTTCAGGAGCATAGACCACCCACTAGCACTCTCTATCCAGCAGTGTCTTGGGCATCCTTCCCAGCCCTTTCCAGTTGCTGCTATTCATCCTTTTCATGTCTGCTTCCAATTCTCGACGCAGTGTGTTCTTTGGTATTCCTCTATTCCGCTTCCCTTCAGGATTCCAGGTCAGGGCTTGCCTCATGATGGAGTTTGGTGATTTCCGTAATGTGTGTCATATCAATTTCCATCGCCTTTTCCTAATTTTCTCTTCAATTAGAAGCTGGTTTGTCATCTCCCACAGAAGGCTGTTACTGATGGTATCCGAACAATGGATATTGAGTATCTTGCGTAGACAACTATTTATAAATACTTGTACCTTATTGATGATGGTTGTAGTAGTTGTGAAAGTTTCAGCTCCGTACAGTAAAACTGTCTTTACGTTTGCATTGAAGATTCTGACTTTGATATTGGGTGAAAGTTGTTTTGAGTTCCATATGTTCTTTATTTATATCTACCTTTAGATAGTTTGACAAACATTTCGGTATTGCACAAGGAAACCCCCAAGTATTTTAATGACTAAAAATGTTGACAGTTTTCTATGTCTTTTCTAGCTTGTGTGATCACTTTTTTTACAGTTAGTAGCTAGTTGATAAACTCTCGTTATATCAGAACTAGGATTTAGGACCCCAGAATAGAGAATTAGATTAACACTAGACAATACTTTATTCAATACAATTACAAACAGTCAATCTCAGTGATTCCAGAGTAGAAATGATCAATGACAGGAAAAGTAATCACACATTTAGTAGTCTGTGGTTGTTTGTCCACGCTCAACGACCGATCGTACTATACTCCTGTAGTCAACGAGAACACAAATGCGGGCAATCAAATGTATTGGAATACATTTTATTGAAATCTGAGAACCATACAGTAAATACTTCATTTGAAAAATGTCAATCAATCGTCTCAGATTTCATTGTCTCTTCGTTTCCACATCAGTCATTCTCTATTCTCGTTCTCTTTTCTTCAATCTTCTGCCACCAGACATTTCACTTTCGGTTAATGATACATACTACTTATATCTATTGACATCAGTAACACACACCAAACTCCATTGATCAAATCAAGAGATATCTGTCCGTTCATCTTTAGTATAATAATGTACCTCTGCGTTTCTGTTTTGTAATATCATGTATCTTGTTCCTTATAAAAAAGGAAACCAAATATTAGTCATCAGTGTATGTCCCGACCGTTGTTGCTACCTTGGCGTGGCGGTCGGGCTCGCCTATCGTGATGAACCAGTCGAACTATGCTGGCTAGGACAACTGTTTCTGAAGGTCCTACCATGCGGGACATGTCGGTTGAAGAGCGGTAGTACTAAAAGCAACAAACCCAAGGTCCGAAGGCGAAGTCATACTGTTGACTGTACAGAGGTGTGACAGCAGTAAGGTGTTTCCTTCAGACAACCAGCATATTTATTTATTTTAACACATAGATATTGGTACAAGGAGGCACCAAATACATATGCGCCACACAGATCTCATTCGATATGTGTGAGGACTGTGATACTGCCTGGATACCCCTAGCTTTCGACCTGAAGATCTGATCCACAAGGCAGTGGAGCATTGTAAGCAGATGCAGTCCCATGGAAGCCGGTGACAAACAAGTGGTTCATACGCCATTTGTTCCCGCAGGATACTGGAGCCCATGTGCACCAGCATAACAGTGATGCTGCCTTCCCACAAGGAGGAGTAGGGTTAGAAAAGGTCGACCCTAAAATGCACACCTCGCCTTATCCCACAAATATCCGTCTCCGGTGGTAAGGTCTCAACAAGTACGGAGCTAACAGGAAAATTACTCATAAATATGTCGTGTGTGACCGACCTCGAGCAGTTGTCCCTTGAGCACTGCGGTCACGCTCTCATGTCACTAAGACCAACTCTAATCCAATTTCCTTTTCAGGTACCTCCAGAAGACTGACTAACATCAGTGTGTGTGTGTGTGTGCAAGTGCATGTGCGTATGTAATCAATTATCTTTATTGACCTAAGTTATTAATGTATACATTCTATTCAATTGATCATGTATTTAATATACTGTATATTGTTCTTTCTTTTTTTTTTAAATATATCACATATACATATATGTAGCTGTTACAATATTGTAAAATTAAACAATGGTTGTCATGGAGTATAAAACTATTATCATTCAATAATAAAATTGATTCAAAACAATATTCAATTTATAGAGAAATGGTTGAAAATTATTTAACTTATTATAAATCATACTATTTAACTGGTACAAATTATCCAACAATTGCTGATATCTCTGTTGCATATACATTAACACAATATATAGATTATAATGAATGGATTAATTTAAATAATAATAAACAATATGTTGTTATATGGTTTGACAAATTGAGAAATTATTTCAATCAATCAAATAAAGTGAGTTGTTTGTTTATTTATTTTATTTCAATACATAAATATTGGTAAGATAAAGAGGGGCGGGACACCGAATACAGATGCGCTACACAAGTCACTTGATTTGTGTGTAGGCTATGATTACTGACTGATTACATTTCAGTCCTACAGGAGGTCAGTCGCGGCCCAGATAGCCCAGTGGTAACGTCTCTGACTGTGAAGATGAGTGACACGGGATTGAATCCGCCAGGGAGCACCAGTTCCCTTAAGATTATAGGTACACCTTGCTGACGAGTGCCAAGTAGCACGAAACCTGGGTCCATGGTTTCCTGTTGACTACCTCCAACCACCATCTAATCTCAATATATAGTGCACGCAGTGTCGAGTCACCTAGACTGGTGGCCACATTGCAACATGGTCGATAGCATTCGATCTGCACTAAATAAGGACTAGACACGCATGACATTGATCACCACCCAGTGATCAATCAATTGTGATATGATGCTGACCGGATGACCACACCCCAAGCTTTTGACCTAACGGTCTGGATCCACAAGGAAGTGGAGCAACTTTAGGAGATTCAATCCCATGGCAAACGGTAATCAATAATTGGTCCATACGCCATTTGTTCATTCAAGATCCTGAAACGAATGTGCACGATTGGTTTGAAATCAGTGTTTTTCAACTGCTCCTAGGTAGATCCTCCATATCCACCAATCCAGTTAAAGTACCGGATATTCGCTTTTCGTCCTCTCATTTTCGTAAGCAACACTCGCGCCTCGAGAGGGCAGTAAGTAGGACTTTCCTGACGGTGGCTTTATATGCGTGGCCGTGTGAGATCTGACTCCATACCCTCGGTTGTACCAGGGTATTTGGAGGTAGTCAGTTATAGTTATTCTTTCTTTTTGTACTTTTTAAATTTTTCTTGAAGATTATTTAAACATTAATCTTAGGCGAAGAACTATTGACAGTTTAGGAGTTCTACTAGACAAATGTCTTTATTTAGCTTGTTGCTTTACAACTCTATATGGGACAAGATTTAAAGAACAATTAATAATACGCTGTCGTAAAAATCCACTTAGAGATCCTGTGTATGTTTCGGTAGTCAGTCAGTTGTAAGCAACATAAAACATGGAATATATGTGCATCGGTTCAATTCGTCGCAAGACAAAACCCCAAGTGATAGTAATCAACATCAATGTTAGTAGAAAACATCAACCATAGACAATATAATCTAATAAAAATCAATAGGTCAACGCCGATTCTGAATTATGTTATCCAATGTCTCCGACCACTGTTTGGGAAAATCATGCGAACTCCAATCAGGTAGTCTGCACCTAATAACTTGGCTCAGATTAAAAGTGAATGACTTGGTGAACTTATGTCAAGTTCTAGTCTAGTTACATTTAACTTTCAATTTACTCCGACACTAACCAGTATCGCGCATCAAGATAAGCGATATTTGTGTATACACAATCCATGCACTAACTGCCTCAGTCGATGAAGTTTCACGATCTCATCAAATGATTTGCCACCTTCAACTAACATTCTGGGTCTAACCCCAGTATTGCTCACTCGGTGGTCTTAACATATGCGAGCTAGTTAAATGTTTTGCATTTATTATCCCAAATAATCTTCTCATTCTACATATGTCAAGACCATTAGTCGGAGTAGGTAATTTCGGCGAATATTTATTATTATTATTATTTCTTAAAACCTTACACACATATAGGTCGAATATCCCAGCAAGTATCTATGTAACGAAGCTTTCGGTATCCATGTCCGATTTTTATCAGAAAACAGTTTATGCTAAGTAATTCATGAAAAGCGTTCAAAAATCTCCGCATTTTGTTCTATATATCATAGTATTTTGACGTCTCTGAATTCATGACAATTATTCATCCCGATCACTTTTGGAAAGGAGAACCTGGGAAAAGACAGTTTCCCCTGTATGTATCGATTACTGAAATTATACGCAAGGCTGGCTACACTGGACTGTGGATGCTAATGTTTTCTACCGACAAACTAATCAAGATCGGTTCGTCTTAAAATCAGTCATACACAGTGTCGAACCTAGCACATGTGCTCATCAGTTTGAACAGCCATATTGCATTACAATACGATGAAACTATCAGGATAAATCCCTTAGTATGCGAAGTAGCAGTAGTAATGGTAATAGGAGAGGATTAGGTATCAAAGATACGATTCAAGAAAATAATTAGTGAAATAAGAAAAAATTATGAGGAATTTAGAAACTTATAATCTGAGGGAAAACAAAGAATAGATGCACCTTTACACAATTGCGAACGACTTTGCGCCATGTCATTCAAAGTCTCTAGGCACGAGTTACGATAATCTTGTGAACTTGAGCCAAGTAATCTACACTTCTGAACATGTCTCGGTTCCATTGTCAATGAATTCATAGACTGATGCCATATTTTGCTTTGACCACTCCTAACTTTTTTTTTCCAATATACCCCCCCCATAATAACCATCGTCTTAATACGATTGCTTTCATCTTTGTTTTTCTTATTTTAGATGAGATCACTTTTCAAATGAAATAGGGAAGTATTGTTGTGCTACTCATTCTAACTAACTTTAAGTTCCGAACAAAATGTAACATTGTAGTCATATATAATTTGTTTATCAATACAAGAAGAAAAAAAAGAATTGAACATTTCATTTTTTTGTAAACATAAACTTTCTCTTCTTTGGTTGAGCTAATAATTGTGGTTCAATTTCAAATTCATAAGTTAATTGAATTGTTGTATCAATTTGTTCACCATCTGGTGGTTCATATTCTTCAGTCGAGTCAATAAATTCCCCGTGTAATTTTGGTGCAGTCATATATGGACCTACTAATGTTAAATAATTCATTTCATTTTCTTTTGTTACTACTCCTAAATTATCATCATTCGATAATTCTGATGATTGAATTAATTCAGGACAAGGTTGAATAGCCGCTTTGTATAAATCGGGAGATGTTTTGTATAACCATTTTAAAGCATTCTGTTGAGCAGCAATTGCTGAATTATACATGATCATTTCATTGTGTGCTACATTTCTTTGATAACGTGTCCAATTCTTCCAAATACCTATTCGTTCATCTAATTCCGTTTCACTAATATCTATTGATGGACGTTGACGTAATCTGAAGGAATTACAAAAGAGAAGAAAACAACAGTGATGACTACGATAACATAGATGTATGTGCAATGAAAAATCTTTAGACTAAGTTACAAGTTTAAAAATATTTTGGATTTTCTACATACATGTTGAATCTAAACGTTGCTATGATCAGCTTAATACAATAAGTATATGTACCCTAGCTTTGAGCTACATTGTTCATGAGTGTATGTGGACTAGTAATATTGTTTAGTTGATCAAACTGAACTATGTGGAACAAGATTCAAAAATGCGATGGCTTTAACTACTAACTTATTGGCGATTGTCACCTTGAAGTCTTCAAATAATCACATATAGTATTCAGAATATTAACTAACCACTATCTGAAAGGGGTTTTACGGATATTATAGTAATTTAATAGTTAAATTCATGAGTCAACTAAATCAACACCACCATGGAAAACCTGGAAGCACTGGAACTCCTCAACAGTGCGCGTCCACGATCCTGCCAGCGGGACTCGATTTCAGGATATATCGGTCCATTGCTTTCAGGTTTTCCATGGTGGTCTTGCTTTAATTGATTCATCAATTAAACTATTAAGTGACCACTATTTATCTCAATGTCGTCTGGTGTACAAGTATTTTGGAAGAAAGCTAAGAGCGACCAAACCAAGGTATAGCGTCAGTCTATGAAACCATTAACTTTTGTAGGTATCATTACCAAGGTTTAACTTTATAATTTAGAATAAATTGAGCATTAGGTAGATTGTTACAAATAAATAACTTATTCTCTAAGGAACTGGCTTACACTGAGTCACGAAATGTTAGAAAATCTAGTTTTTCTACCCATTAGAATATTACAAAAATATGTTATCATTAAATTTTGGTTTGAGCCATATCAGTAGACGCAGACTATCTGTTTAAGGTCTGGCCGACCAATGGTTAGAGACTCAGAATTGTTCACAACGTTGCTGAAGTGTTGCCTTCATCTTGGTCTAGATAGTGAGCGTTCTTATTCTTTTCTCCCGACCATAGCTGCTACCGTGACGCGGTGGTCGAGCTTGCCTATCATGATAGCCCAACTGAGCTACATTGGCTAGAACATATGTTCCTGTAGGTTCTACCATGCCAGGCAGGTCGATTGGAGAACGGCAAGACTAAAATAAGCGACTCAAGGACTAAGGGCGAAATCATACGGCTAACTATTGTAGGGTGTGACAGTACAACGGTGTTTCCCGCAGACCACCAACATCACCAGCGATGCTCCTTTCACACAAGCTCAGTCACTCATTAAAACCGTAGAACTTCGTACGTACGTACATCAATCCAAGTTGCCACATCACACAGATGAAATTGTCGATTCAAATCCCATAGTGGTAGAGGTGGTAGGAGTATAAGCAGTAATCGGAAACATTAGGGTTTGAAGATGTTATTCAAGGAGTATAATCTAGTGAAATAAACTTGGAAAGAAACAAAAAAGGGACACGAAGAATTCAGAAGATTAGAATTTTGGAGAACACAAAGAGTGGATGCATCTGCTCCATTGCAAACGATTTTGAGCCATGCCATTCAGAGTCTCTAACCATCGGTTGCTATCATCTCGCGGTCCCCAACCAGGTAGTCTACACCTACCAACATGGCTCAGTCCACTTGTCAGTGACTTCATGGATTCGTGTCATGTTTTGGTCTGGCCGTCCCTAGCTTTCTTCCAACCTACTCCTATACCATTGAACATCGCACGTCGGTGTTTGGGCATACGTAACACGTATCCCAGCCATCTCAACTGATGAGGTTTCACTACTTCATCAATTGATTTGCCATCCTTACCTAGTACCCATTTCCTAACAACTGCGTTACTTACCCGATGGTCCCAGGATATACGAACAATGTTTCAAAGACACCTATGATCAAATACTAGTAACCTACGAATATCCTCTACTCTTACCGGCCATGTTTCACTGCCATAAAGTAGGACGGGACGAACTGCTATGCAGTAAACACGTCCTTTGGTTGATAGACGGATATCTCGCCTACGCCATAAATGACGCAAGTTGGTAAAAGCTAGTCGAGCCTTCTGTATCTGTGCTGAGATTTCGTCACACACCAGACCACAAGGGCTGATGAGACTTCCAAGATAAGTGAAGCGGTCAACACGCTCAACTACTTCATTCCTTATCATTAGTTCGGGTGTCGATGCAACCCGATCCTGAAGCAACATTTCGCATTTCGAGGGGGAGAATCGCATCCCGAACATGCTTGCATTGTTGCTTAGAGTGGTCAGAAGACTGCATTTTGTCAGCGTCTTCACCAAATAGAACTATCTCATCGGTATATTCTAAGTCAACAAGTAAATCTCCCGGTAGAAGTTCAACCCCTAGAAATTTAGATGAGGAGAGTGTTATCTGTAAAAGCACGTCAACGAGAAATTTAAACAAGAATGGAGAGAGTGGACAGCCCTGACGAACACCACTTGAGGTAATCAATTCTGATGACAGTTCGCCATAAGCTCTTACTCGACCAGTTGTGTTCGAGTAGAGAGCCTTTACAAGGTTAATGTACTTCTTTGGTACTCCTTTCAGTGACAAACACTGCCATAGAACCTCACGATCAACAGAGTCGAATGCCGCCTTAAGGTCGAGAAATACTACGATTGTGGGGCGTCTGAATGTGTGTCTGTGTTCCAGAACCTGACGTGGTGTGAATATCTGGTCTATACAACCACGTCTAGGTCGAAAACCAGCCTGGTTTTCCATAGTCTGTTCTTCACGAGCTTTGGTTAGGCGTAGAAGTATTATTGAAGCTAATATTTTAGACACTATATTAGTCAAATTGATTCCTCTATGATTGTCACAAGAGGACTTTTGTCCTTTCTTACAGACTGGCACAATCAGTGATTGAGACCAGTCAGATGGGATTACGTCCAGTTCCCAAATCCTACCTAAGACCTCAGTTAATCTCACTGCTAATACTGGACCACCATCCTTAAAAACCTCAGGAGTAAACCTGTCAGGGCGTGCTGCTCTCCCCCGCTTCAGATTTCCCATAGCTTTTTCAACTTCGTAAAGAGTCGGAGGACCTACATTAACTTGCCATTCAGGTTGACTGGAGATCGTGGGAAACCGAAGTATGGCTGAAGGCCAGTTGAACTGATCCATGAAGTGTTCTTCCCATCGATCCAATTTCCTGGATTGAGAATGTAGAATATGTCCATCTTTTTCTGAGACAGTTTCGCTAGAAATCGGGTTCCTAATACCGGTTTCCTTAACAAGTCTGAACAGTTGTCCGCTATTACCTATTGCCACTACCTTTTCCATCTCTTGCTTTCGCTATCCACCACTGTTCACGATCATTGCGTAGGCTTCTTGTCAGCTTGCGCCTAAGCTGAATCCGCTCTTCGTTATGTTCAGAGCCAGATGGGATGAGTTTTCGCGCATCTATCAGTGTGGTAGATGCTGCTGAGATCCAGTGTTTCTCCTTAACCTTATGGTTTACCATACTAGCAGATACCACTGCTGTTTCCACAGCTTTTCGAATACCATCCCATGCTGCCTCGGGGTGGGCATCACATACATGGCTGCCTAACTGTTTTTCTAGTTGTTCCTGAAATACACTCTTAGCTTGACTATCATTAAGTAGGACCCTAAGAGGTTTCCTTGCAGCGTCTTTCCTACGGCCAGTAAGACGCAGACAAATACGCGCTTGCACTAGAGCATGATCTGAGTCTAAGCATGTGCTCCAGAATGAGCGAGTCTTCTATCGAGCTCCTCCATCGGTGGCTGATAGCGATGTGATCTATTTGGGTCCAACGTTGGGACGAATTAGGGGGTTGCCATGTTAAAAGATGTTTTTCCTTATGCTTACAGTTAGTATTTGCAAGAAAGAGGCGGTTATCTGAGCATAGCTGCAACAGACAGTCGTCATGATCTGTTCTTTGAGCCACGACACTATAAGATCCACCCAGGTGTCTTTCCCTTTCGCTTAGTTTACCTACTTGAGCATTCAAGTCACCAGCCACTATCACTACATCAAAGCGCCTAGCTTTTCGGAGAAGGTCGGAAAGCTTTCTGTAAAACTCGTCTTTTACATCATCTGAGCTGCAGTCAGTGGGAGAATAGGCAGAGACGACGAGTGTCCCTATCTTTCCGAGTCCTTACTGTTCCGTTTAGTCCGACAACGCACAAACGACTGTCTACTGGAATCCAGTCTAAGAGAGCTAGTTCTGCCCTATGACTCAATGTTATACCTACGCCAGCGAGGCCACAAGAAGCAGCATTAGGGCTTCCAGATACACGAAGTGTGAATCGAGTTGGTTCTTTATTTTGACATAGTGAGGTCAAATGAATGACGCTACTCGGATCCTGTATGCGCGTTTCGGAGACGCAGCACACATCGATGGCGCGAGATTCTAAATCCCTAGTTAAGGAAGCCTGTTTTCCTATTTGGCACGGTGTTCGGACGTGGTTTCAGGAAACCAGGAAAACCGTTTGCCCTAGCAGGAAGCCCTAATGCTGCTTCTTGTGGCCTCGCTGGCGTAGGTATAACATTGAGTCATAGGGCAGAACTAGCTCTCTTAGACTGGATTCCAGTAGACAGTCGTTTGTGCATTGTCGGACTAAACGGAACAGTAAGGACTCGGAAAGATAGGGACACTCGTCGTCTCTGCCTATTCTCCCACTGACTGCAGCTCAGATGATGTAAAAGACGAGTTTTACAGAAAGCTTTCCGACCTTCTCCGAAAAGCTAGGCGCTTTGATGTAGTGATAGTGGCTGGTGACTTGAATGCTCAAGTAGGTAAACTAAGCGAAAGGGAAAGACACCTGGGTGGATCTTATAGTGTCGTGGCTCAAAGAACAGATCATGACGACTGTCTGTTGCAGCTATGCTCAGATAACCGCCTCTTTCTTGCAAATACTAACTGTAAGCATAAGGAAAAACATCTTTTAACATGGCAACCCCCTAATTCGTCCCAACGTTGGACCCAAATAGATCACATCGCTATCAGCCACCGATGGAGGAGCTCGATAGAAGACTCGCTCATTCTGGAGCACATGCTTAGACTCAGATCATGCTCTAGTGCAAGCGCGTATTTGTCTGCGTCTTACTGGCCGTAGGAAAGACGCTGCAAGGAAACCTCTTAGGGTCCTACTTAATGATAGTCAAGCTAAGAGTGTATTTCAGGAACAACTAGAAAAACAGTTAGGCAGCCATGTATGTGATGCCCACCCCGAGGCAGCATGGGATGGTATTCGAAAAGCTGTGGAAACAGCAGTGGTATCTGCTAGTATGGTAAACCATAAGGTTAAGGAGAAACACTGGATCTCAGCAGCATCTACCACACTGATAGATGCGCGAAAACTCATCCCATCTGGCTCTGAACATAACGAAGAGCGGATTCAGCTTAGGCGCAAGCTGACAAGAAGCCTACGCAATGATCGTGAACAGTGGTGGATAGCGAAAGCAAGAGATGGAAAAGGTAGTGGCAATAGGTAATAGCGGACAACTGTTCAGACTTGTTAAGGAAACCGGTATTAGGAACCCGATTTCTAGCGAAACTGTCTCAGAAAAAGATGGACATATTCTACATTCTCAATCCAGGAAATTGGATCGATGGGAAGAACACTTCATGGATCAGTTCAACTGGCCTTCAGCCATACTTCGGTTTCCCACGATCTCCAGTCAACCTGAATGGCAAGTTAATGTAGGTCCTCCGACTCTTTACGAAGTTGAAAAAGCTATGGGAAATCTGAAGCGGGGGAGAGCAGCACGCCCTGACAGGTTTACTCCTGAGGTTTTTAAGGATGGTGGTCCAGTATTAGCAGTGAGATTAACTGAGGTCTTAGGTAGGATTTGGGAACTGGACGTAATCCCATCTGACTGGTCTCAATCACTGATTGTGCCAGTCTGTAAGAAAGGACAAAAGTCCTCTTGTGACAATCATAGAGGAATCAATTTGACTAATATAGTGTCTAAAATATTAGCTTCAATAATACTTCTACGCCTAACCAAAGCTCGTGAAGAACAGACTATGGAAAACCAGGCTGGTTTTCGACCTAGACGTGGTTGTATAGACCAGATATTCACACCACGTCAGGTTCTGGAACACAGACACACATTCAGACGCCCCACAATCGTAGTATTTCTCGACCTTAAGGCGGCATTCGACTCTGTTGATCGTGAGGTTCTATGGCAGTGTTTGTCACTGAAAGGAGTACCAAAGAAGTACATTAACCTTGTAAAGGCTCTCTACTCGAACACAACTGGTCGAGTAAGAGCTTATGGCGAACTGTCATCAGAATTGATTACCTCAAGTGGTGTTCGTCAGGGCTGTCCACTCTCTCCATTCTTGTTTAAATTTCTCGTTGACGTGCTTTTACAGATAACACTCTCCTCATCTAAATTTCTAGGGGTTGAACTTCTACCGGGAGATTTACTTGTTGACTTAGAATATACCGATGAGATAGTTCTATTTGGTGAAGACGCTGACAAAATGCAGTCTTCTGACCACTCTAAGCAACAATGCAAGCATGTTCGGGATGCGATTCTCCCCCTCGAAATGCGAAATGTTGCTTCAGGATCGGGTTGCATCGACACCCGAACTAATGATAAGGAATGAAGTAGTTGAGCGTGTTGACCGCTTCACTTATCTTGGAAGTCTCATCAGCCCTTGTGGTCTGGTGTGTGACGAAATCTCAGCACAGATACAGAAGGCTCGACTAGCTTTTACCAACTTGCGTCATTTATGGCGTAGGCGAGATATCCGTCTATCAACCAAAGGACGTGTTTACTGCATAGCAGTTCGTCCCGTCCTACTTTATGGCAGTGAAACATGGCCGGTAAGAGTAGAGGATATTCGTAGGTTACTAGTATTTGATCATAGGTGTCTTTGAAACATTGTTCGTATATCCTGGGACCATCGGGTAAGTAACGCAGTTGTTAGGAAATGGGTACTAGGTAAGGATGGCAAATCAATTGATGAAGTAGTGAAACCTCATCAGTTGAGATGGCTGGGATACGTGTTACGTATGCCCAAACACCGACGTGCGATGTTCAATGGTATAGGAGTAGGTTGGAAGAAAGCTAGGGACGGCCAGACCAAAACATGACACGAATCCATGAAGTCACTGACAAGTGGACTGAGCCATGTTGGTAGGTGTAGACTACCTGGTTGGGGACCGCGAGATGATAGCAACCGATGGTTAGAGACTCTGAATGGCATGGCTCAAAATCGTTTGCAATGGAGCAGATGCATCCACTCTTTGTGTTCTCCAAAATTCTAATCTTCTGAATTCTTCGTGTCCCTTTTTTGTTTCTTTCCAAGTTTATTTCACTAGATTATACTCCTTGAATAACATCTTCAAACCCTAATGTTTCCGATTACTGCTTATACTCCTACCACCTCTACCACTATGGGATTTGGATCTAGGATAACACATATCAGTGCCAGGCTGAGTTGATCATAACTGTCCATGTGTTTACTTGAGTGAACCTAGTTTGATATTCATAGGCTTGTTAGTCTGGAATATCGTTGTTCAAATTTTTTACACACGATATTTTGTGAGTAGTCGTTTGGGTTCGATGAACTCTGTACATTTTAAACTTAACCAATGACAGTGGGAGTTTTCGAGGTTATGTTAATTTTAAAGATAACCTTGTTAGAACCTTCCTTTAGTTTATGGTAAGACTGGAGATTTGTGCGAAACATTAATACAGCTACATCCTAGTGAAACTAACAGTACGATCCCGTTACTAGACCTTGGGTTTACTGCTCTTGTTCTTACTACTCTTCCAACTGACCTGCCTAGGATTATAAAACTTCATGGAGCAAATGTCCTAGGTCAATTGGGTTGTCCTAATATGTAAGAGACAACTTCAGTGTAAGCGAGTCAGTACATTTTCCACATTAAGTAGATGAGTACGTTTTACAATTTGACTAATATTGATGTTGAACAACTCTTTCAATGTACTAAGGGAAACTGGAAATCTGAATTTCTAAAATAGCTTACTTTATTTCTTTCTTTAATTGACGATCTCCTTCAATTTCTTCAATTGGTCTTAATATTCGATCGAGACGATTAAGTCGTTTGATTTCTTTTTCAATTCTTCTAACTTTTCTAGTTACTTGAATTTGGCTATCAGCTAGGCCGACTCTTTTCTTCTTTTTTAAAGGTTCTGCCCTATACAATAATAATAGAGAAAAATTCAACTAGTTTTGAAATTAACATAACCTACATGGTAATTGATGATGTATGCAGTCCAGCAAAATGATTGATAGTTCTTGGTTGAATAAATAGACTTTGTACAAACAAGCTAATTATTGCGATTATCATACTACTGAAAGATTTATCCGTACCTTGTTAATCTCTTTGACATGTCTTTTTATATTTCTTAGTAATAAAATGCACTGGTGCACAGCTGATAATTATCTAAATAATATTAACATTTAGTGAAACATTTTAAGCATATCGGATTTCCTAAAACTCTTTAAAACCAAATACAAGAAAAATATTGTAAACAGTGCGATCTCACGTAACAGTTGGACATTTTGGTGAATATGGACTAGTTGGTACGCCTGGTATTCAACTTATAAACTCATTCAGCTACAACGTAGGATCAGGCACATATGTGCATCGGTTTAAATTGCCATATCTCATTAGCACAACAAGATGAACACCCAATTCACAGAGGTAGTTAATTCAATGGTGGTAATATATAAAAGAAAGATTACATACAAGGATAGAGTGCAGGAAGAAATAATTAGTTCGTAGAAAGAAAGAAATGAAGCGATTTTAATCTCTTAGTTTACAAGAAGACAGGAAGTGTATACACCGACGCCATTGTGATCGATTCTCAGCCACGTCACAGTCTCCAACCATTGGTTGCAAGTAATCGCGCGGACCCTAACTAAGTATTTTGCATCTACCAACATGGCTCAGATTAGAAGTCAGTGACTTCAAGCACTGATGCCACGTATTGGTCTGGCCGCTCCTAACTATCTTCCAACCATCCATAACACCAGTTGAAATTACCCGTCGTGGTAATCGGTGTTCACGCATACGCAACACATGACCCGACCATCTCAGTCGATGAAAATTCACAACCTCATCAACTGATCTACCATCATCATTCCGTAATACCCTGCTTTTAACCTCACTATTACTTACCCGGTGATCCCAGCAGATGTCAGCAATATTTCTAAGACATCTGTAGTCAAATACTAGTAGCCTACGAGTATCTTATATTCTTAATGGCCACATTTCGCAGCCGTGAAGCAAAACAGAACAAACTGCCACACAGTATACCGGTCCCCAAATTGAAAGATGGATATCTCGCCTCCGCTATAGATGACGTAAGTTGGCAAAAGTCAAACGAGCTTTTCGAATCCGTGCACAAATTTCACCAAACACTAACCCATTAGGGCTGATCAAACTTCCAAGATAAGTGAAGTTGTCGACGCGTTCGGCTACTTCACTCCCTATCCTTAGTTCAGGTGTTGACGCAGTCCAGTCCTAGAGCAATAACTTGCATTTAGAGGGGGAGAAGCGCATTCCAAACATCCTGGCATTGTTGCTCAGTGCTACCAAAAGACTGCATTTTATCAGCGTCTTCGCCAAACAGGACTATATCATCTGCGTATTTTAAGTCGATAAGTGGACCTCCTTCAATGCTAGTAATTCAAAATTAACACACAATCATCTGGGAGGGATGCGGGTTTGTGTAATACTACCAGTCAATAACTATAATCAGCATAAAGTCGGGAACAAATGTTCCGCAGTCCAAGTTACCACACTGTATTAGCATGACCAGATGAAAATAAAACGTGATAAGAGCGAAAGTCGAAATAAAGTAGTAGGAATGATAATAAAAGACTGAATATTGTTTGGAAGAACGAAGTAGGAAGGTGTATGTGAAGGAATAGCGGGATTTAATTATATTGTAACCTGTTTGAATATATTTTGTGCCATTACTGTTGAACTGTAAAATCTTTTCGTTTGTTTTTTGTACCGTATTTCACTTTTTAAATACAACTGACTGATCACTTCACAGTTAGCAACATTGTTCTCACGATTAAAGGTACACCTTGTTAGTAAAACCGAAGCAGCACGAAACTCAGGTCTAGGGTTTCCCGTCGATTACCTTCAATTATTAACCTCTCAACAATCTGCACGCGATTTTGAGTCACCTGGATTAGTAGCCATATTGAAACTTGACCAATGGGATTCTATCAGCACTAATAAGGACTAGATATACATAATATTAGTCACTATCCAGTGATCAACCAGTCGTAAATATCTTAGTTTTATAGGGTGTCAGTCGTAGCCCGAATAGCTTAACGGTAACGCCTCAAACTGTGAAGCTGGGTGGAGGTTCAAATCCTGTAGAAAATACAAGTTTCCTTGAGATTACATGGACATCTTGCTGACTAATCTTGAATGGTGCGAGACCAAGGCCCAGGGTTTCCTGTCGACCACCCTCAACCACCTGACACTTTTTACTGTTTGATAACAACCTTCGTTTTCTTTGCTCTTTGTATTCCTTCTTTACGGTGGTTTGCGTTGTATCCATGTCTGTAGGTCAAATAGGTTGAACACAACAAGTCAATAAGAGCCTTCATTCTCTCATTTCGGAAATATGCCCACGGCATGTAAATTAAACCTAAAAACAAAGTTTGGCAGTCTCCTGGTCACCTTAAGCAACAGTCCAAGTGTTTCGGATGGGATTCTCTCCCTCCAAATGCAAAACATTGTCTTAGAACCAGTCTGCATCATGTCCAAGATTAGTGACAGAGTGAGATGATTGAGTGCTTCGACTGCTTCACTTATATTGGGAGTCTCATCAATCCTGATGCCTGACCAAATCTCGGCATGGATTCAAAATACTCAGCTGGTGTTTGTCAACCTATGCTAGTGTAGTCAACATAGTCAACTGAAAACCAAAGGACGAGTTCACTGTTTAACTGTACTCTATTTTATCTTATGCATGTAAAACAGCTTTTAAGAATAGAGGATATTCGTTGGCTACTAGTACTCGATCACAGGCGTCTCCGAAGTACCACTTGTACATTTTTAGACCACCTAATTAGCAATGCTGAAGTTAGGTAGACGGTACCAGAATAAGATAGCAAGCCGGTTGACAAGGTGGTGAGTATTTGTTGACTGAAGTGGTTGGGATATGTATTACACATGCTTAACTGCTGAATACATCAGCAGGCAATGTTGATTGGTGTAAAAATAGGTTGAGAGGAAGCCAGGAGTGAAAAAACCAAGATGTGGCTTTAGACCATGAAATCATTAACTACTAGACTAAGTTAAGGTTACTTAGTTGGGGTCCATGTGATTATTGAAACCAATGGCTAAAGACTTTGGGTGACATGGGTGAAAATCATTGGCAATGGCGCAGACGCATTCACCTTTTATCTTCCCTAAGTTCCTAAGCACTGAATGACCAAGTTTGTTAAAGTTTAAAAACTGACTCAAAAATAAGAGACGAATAAAAATAGGATATTCTTGAAGTCAAATATTTAAAAGGCGCTAAAGAATAAATGTGTCTGCACTACTGTTACGAATTACAGGCCATTTTATCTCCGATCTACTACTGTTCACAACTATTACGCAGATTCCAACAAGGTATAGATTTTCGGTCATAGTTCTATTTGTATAATTATGATCATATATATCTTAGTACAACGTATATAACAAAATACAAGTATAAAACAACTAGAGAACAAACAAATTAGACGATGGGACAAACCTAAAGTAACAAAACAATCTGTGCTAATTGTCCCAAACTTCACTCGAAAATGGATGATAATGTAGAACGATTATATTTCATTCCAACACGTCACACTAGACACAATCACTTTGCTGAGTTTTTAGTCTGTTTCAAAGTCAGAGTATCATGTGAAATAACAAATAACATATTCAACTACGCTGAACAGTTAGTTGAGAATATGATTGTTGGACAGTTATAAATAAATAAATTGGATAGGCTATAAATAATCTCTAAAATATTGTGCACTCGTTTCTTAATGTCATGTAGCAGAGGATTTTAAATGATTATTTCTAAAATGAAAAAAGAGAATGCTGATTGATAATTAATACACATAATAAGGTGTGGCTCCGTAATAGCTGCTGATGAGACTGAACTGTTGCATAAGCCCGAGAAAGATTTGAAGTCAGAGTCAGTGACCAGTAGCCAGAATAGTATTTTACCTAGTGAAATTGCATGTTTCCAAACAAACTATCAGATAATAAGGCTGCTATCACAAGTAGTCGTTACGTCACAAAACAACGGTTTGGCTTATCGTACGAAACCGAAATAACTGAATAGTAAGAATATGGGGAAGAGAGGAATCACATTTTGAAATGCACTAAAACTTAGTTAAAAATGAGTTAATATGCAGGTAAGAAACTGAGTAAACGAAGATGTGATAAGGCGTAAAAATCAAGAGAAAACTAACGAGCATTAATCCACACTTTCTTGTCTTATGTTGTCACTTCTTCTATCAGCAGGTAATTCGTGGACAATTAGTCTTCCAACATTCTCTATAGTCTGCTAACAAGATTACAAATACACTGGTTGGAGAGGAGCACTCCACGTGTAACGGATACGTGATGTGAGTACGTACCCAATCTCCTAATTTTTGGAAAAATTTGACTCATTTTTAGGAAATTTTGAAGAAATGGCACCAAAACCCCAAGATTCCCCTAAATTTTGGGTTTTTCCCCAACTTTGGTGAAGGTCATTTGACTTTGGAGATTTCCCCGAAATTGGGAGCTCAGGTAGGATATTACACAGGTCCTTCCTTGTTGACAAACAACCCAGAGATAATTTCTTCATGGATCATTACGATCAAGCATTAGTGCTTGATTATAACCAACATGTTGTGTGTACACACGAATATAACGAGATATTTGGGGCTGAATTACAAATCCATCCTACACTACTTAACTTCAAATAGACTTTTTTATAGAAGGTAATAAAAATGAGGGTTATATACATATGTATCCCCTAAGGGATACATAACAATTCTATTTCATTTCACTGTAAACATTTTGTACAGAACTCTTGCAGTTAGATCCCAACCGTAAAAAAACGAACTTTTTCTGTGACGGTAGCTGGTTTGCTTATTTCGAGACGAATTGTGACCCATGACATGATAGACCTGACTGATAACTTACCTCCTAAGTAATCCACATTCAGTAGTGTTTTACTTTAACCCTACCGCTTCCAATGACAAATAGTTTTGAACGGTAGTGCATGGATTAGTACAAGCTTTCCCTCAATGGTCTTTCGTATAGAGTAGTGGTGGATCACCGACGCCTGCAGGTATGGAGTTAGGCATGTTAGACGCTGTACAATGCCCGAATCAATGGTTACTGAGCAACAACCTGAGGAGTTCGCGTTTCAGGCTGAGATCGCCCAGCTTTTGAGCCTGATTATCAATACTTTCTTCTCCAACAAAGAGATATTTCTTCGTGAGCTTATATCTAATGCTAGTGACGCTCTGGACAAGTTGAGGTATAAGAGTTCGACTGATCCATCAGTTCTTGATTCCGGAGAAGATATGTATGTCAAGTTGATACCCAACAAGGAGGCTGGAACTTTGACTGTCCTGGATACTGGTATTAATATGACGAAAGCAGATTTGATTAAGAATTTGGATACGATCGCTTCCTCTGGCACGAAGGCATTTATGGAGGCTCTGGCTGATGGTGCAGATATCGATGATTGGTCAATTTGGTGTAGGTTTCTATTCTGCCTACCTTATAGCCGACCGGGTTCAAGTAGTGACGAAAATAATGATGACGACCAGTATATTTGGGAGTCGTCCGCTGGTGGAACTTTCACAATCGCACCAGATGACAGTGAGTTGCCAAAACGAGGCACTAAGGTGATATTGCATCTCAAAGAAGATCAACTAGATTTTCTTGAAGAGAGAAAAATTTGAGACATAGTGAAGAAACATTCTAATTTTATCAACTATCCCATCAAACTGGTTGTTAATAAAGAGCGAACCAAGGAAGTGTCTGATGATTAGGCTGAAAAGGCCGAGTCGAAAGAAGCTGACGACAAACCGAAAGTCGAAGATCTAGATGAAGACGAGGAAGAGGAGAATAAAGAAAATAAAAGTAAAAAGAAGGTTGTGGAGAAGTTTACTGAAGAGGAGCAGCTGAACAAGCTTAAACCGCTCTGGACGCGTAATCCCGAAGATATAAATACAGAAGAGTATGCCGAGTTTTACAAGTCGCCTACTAATGACTGGGAGGACCATCTTGCGGTGAAGCACTTCTCTGTTGAAGGACAGTTAGAGTTCTGAGCGTTGCTGTTTGTGCCTAAACGTTCACCTATAGACATGTTTGAAGGATCACGTAAGAAGCGAAACAATATCAAATTGTATGTGCGAAGAGTGCTGATCGTGGATACGTGTGATGATATGATTCCTGAGTACTTGAATTTCGTCCGCGGCGTTGTGGATAGTGAAGACCTGCCTCTTAACATCAGTCGTGAGGTGTTGCAGCAGAACAACGTATTGAGGGTTATTCGTAAGAGCCTGGTCAGGAAATGTATTGAGCTATTTCAGGAGATAGCGGAGGATAAAGATAACTACAAGAAGTTTTACGAGCAATACTCGTAAAGTATAAGAAATATCAGCAAGTTATAGTGAAATACCCATTTGAGTCCTTACGATTATGTCAAATTTCCTCATGAAGAACTCCTAGGGAAGTTGCCTGGATCACCTCAACTGGGAGTTAATTCCAGGATCTGACTACTCGTACGGAGCAGAAGGTGTGCTTGCTGTCTATTCTGCTATGTTGCGCCCCAAATTTCTGAGTATTGCTCCTAAGGTTTGTTTTAGGACTGAGCTTTCGCCAACAGGCATAGTGGCTGTTATAACAGCCAGCTCGTATGGTTGGCTACAGCAAAGTAAGTGATTAAAAACAGTATGTGCAATAATATCTTGACGGTTAGTAAAGGCGCTCCTAACAACTCAGAGACAACATGGCTTCAGAAAACGACAAAGCCATCACCAATGAAATAGCTCCAAAATGATGAACCTGCTATCCGAAACAACAAAATTCCCTACTTATTCAAATATCTAACCCACTAGGGATATGTCTGTAGGATTTTCGGCATAAACCTGTGTTAGAACATGTCTTATTAGTCACCCTCAACTGTCTTTGTACATTTTGTGTTATCGTGGTGTTTATTATCGTTGTTATAGATAAGCAGTGTAGTCAACCTACACGTCAAAGGTTTCGTTTTTGAGGCGCATTAACTCATTTAAATCTTTCCTGAAGAATCTTACTCCACCAAATTGTAGAATGACGATACAGTCAGAGATTATTATAAACTTGAACTCAGTGTTTTTACATAAGTTTTTAATTTAGGAGACTCCTAACATGCTAAGGTTGAACACTGTCACTTTCTGAAGCGAAATTTCTCATAAATATACTGACTAAAACAACTTCTGTCCTTGTCTGATCTTCAGATTACCGGCAAAATTTGACGGATGAGTAGGAGTCTTAGATGAATACATTTATGTTTATATTGTTTATGACACTCGCCCGTGGCGATAATCAGCAATATGATATTTATGACTTCTGAAAAACATGTTTGAGTTGAGGATAGAATAATAGATTTGGTATGAAAAAGAATAAGTTGCACAGTTACCACGCAAGGATGGCTGAGCCATGCGACTGCAACTTTGTTCCAGCGTTCACCGCGTTTGACCTTCTATAGGCGTTACATGTCGAATGTAAATCTTCCCAGTAAATATATATTTGGCTTCAAAGATCATGTGGTTAGGAAACATACCACTACATCTTTGACATCTCTTGAAGTCTCACACCTGCGAACTCGGCACAGTTTTGCCGGGCTTGTCACCATGCAAATCGAGATATGTTCCCTTTCCAACTTCTGTCCATCAAAATCTGCTCAACCTTTCAATAAACTATCATCTGACGCTGAAACATTAAAGACGATAGAAGAATTTTATTTGGAGTCCTTTCATTCATGCTTTTGAAGCGGTAGCTTTCTCAGGGCTTTTATTTCTACTAACAGTCACCCATTTCTCTGTTCCACTACCAGTGATGGAGACCTTTGTATCTGTCGGTGATTGATTCCTTGTTCCACCTCATTACTTTCAGCCAGATTCACTTAACGGTTCATCCTTCAGGACCTGCTGGCGCGTATTAGGGGACTCTTGGCTGAGAAGAGGTACGAATCTTGTTCTATTCCAAACAAAAAATGAAGAACTAAAAGAACTGGTTAGTGTTAGTGGGAATGAAGCAATACCTAGTGTAATCGCTTGTAGTACTTGCATAATCATTGTAAATTTCAAGGCCTCCTTTTGTAAGACTGCAAGAGATGTCGTTGCTATCGTTTCTGGTGAATAGTTCCACAATTTAGTGATTTTACTCACAAAAGACGCATTTAAACTTTTTGCGAGCTGATTTGTGCTCTGTCGTGAGTAAATGTCCTCCTAGGTGTGATTTATCAGTTATTTATGAAAGTGAGGAGGATTATGATCAATAAAATACATCATGATGACAACCCTAGTCAACTACTTTTGTACTACAGAGATCGCAAATTTACGGCGTCCAGAGGAGCAATGTAGACGTCTTTGAACACGTTCCACATGGCATTACTCTTTTTGAATTAAGGGAATATACTTCGAGCGTTACTTTTCAAATGATGACTTAAGTAAACATAATAGCTTTACGTAATTCAGAGGCCTGGCTACCTACTATTATGCAAACAAATTCGGAGACACAATATGCTTTTTGACCACAGAATGTCTGTAAGAAGAAATATATAGATTATAACAAAGTGTAGTCTGCAGTCCTTTTCAGTCGCACAGTGTGATACCGAAATCCGGATGTAATTTCACCATTGTTCACCATCCATATTCTGCATTCTCTAGTGTTAAGTGGTACAGGGCTTCTGCTGGTCGAGTCATATCTTCTATCCAAGTTTTGTTGAGGAGACAAGCTAGCATTTGGTTTTATTATCTCCTTCAAGATCTTAGGGTCATTCGAGCATGACAGGGCTTTATGGTCTAGAACACTAGATAAGTTGGTGATAAACGATAAGAAGACAAGGGATCCTATGATTGAGTCTTGTGGCACTCCACCTATCATTTAGAAACTGTCAGACAGTGTGGAGCGAACTGTGATGGCTTGTAATCTTCCCGACGTGCAGTAATAGTAATCTATTTCCAAGTGAAAGGAGCTAGACAAGGCGTGGCAAGTCATTTTATTGAACACCCACCGGCACATTTATCGTGTGTTTTAGTCAGTGAATTCCACGAATAACAATAATTGGTGTCTTTGAATGATTTAGAATGCCTATGTGACAAGGATTTTTATGCTACAATTATAGGATTCAGGAATTCCTGACAGTCACTGAATCCATCTCTGTTACGTACATGAAAGAATACCGTGCTGTAAGTCAGAAACCACAAAAACATAGAGTCAGTAATTAGAAAGTGTCTATGCAGGCACTGTTTCTGAAATTCAGTGGGTCACTTGAAACAGTGATGGGCGCAGCTTCGCCAGCTGAGGTGTCGTTCACAAAGACATACTTTTGAAGGTTACTGAACAACTCGAGGGATCAAAAGATTTGCTCAACAGTTAATTAGGCCTACTCAGTTTGGAGGACGCCAATGTCCTGATACAGAGTGGAGCCTTCTACTGTTTTTCATGGATCTTGGTCCATACAGATACAGATGACGTAAAATTATGGAGAGGCATCTTTAAAGAAACCTTACGGTACTAATGAAGTGGCCACAAAACAGTTTACAGCTCACACTTCAGAAGCTTTATATAATGCTCCATCTCATTCCAGAAACATGGGTATCTCCTTTTCAACGGTGTAATATGGCGTGAACATATTTTTTTAAAAAGCCAGTTACAACTATGGAGGAGGCAAGCCGAAGTATAATTTACACTTCACTTCGCTCAAAAAAAGCTGGATTTTCTGACTTCGAGTGTTCTTGTGGTTCAGCTTCCCTTCATTCATTGTCACCAATAAATTATAGGCAACGAGAAGATCGGCTCCAAGAATGAGCTCCTTCCCTTGTGCAATTAAGAAAATGCATATGGAACGTCGACAGAGTCCAAGGTCTAATATTAACGACCGTTTTCCTTATGTCATGAATACCGTTTCTTTGGCCACCTGTAGGGATTCTTTGCTGCTGGAAGTGTGTCGCCGTCGTGATGATTCTAGTGGGAGTATGCTGGTTTATGCCCCTGTGTCGACTAAACGTTTGGACCAGAATTGTAATCCCTGATATGGAATAGACAGCTTGCTGTTTGG